TCCTTTCATGCATATCTTGTTAAGCAGCTCTTAGTAACTGATACCTCCTATAGGAGAAACACGAACGTCTTCAGACTTAATCAAAAAGCATATACTATAATTGACATTGTTTTGGATTAAAAAAGAAGAACATAGCAACCTATCTTTCTCAAGTTTTTTTCTTCAGCGTCATGTTTATCCCTCTTCAGAGAATACACCAATGAGCGATTCTTGATCATTGTTTAACTCTTCAGTCTCTTTTTCTGCATAATTGAGCTGGTGAAGAAAAGAAGTAAGAAACTTGCAACTGAATTTAAACAAGGACAGAAGAAACTTTATGGGTCGGATAAATTCAGCAAGTATATAATATTCGATCAAATCTGGATCAATTGAATAGTCTACATTTTATTTATTTTTCATTCACAATGTTATAGACAGGAAATGTACAAATGAGAAGTCTTAAGGATGGAAAAATGTCATATATGATACACTAAATTTGCGTGGGATAGACTTCAAATCACATTGGTATAGTGGTTCCTTACCATCCTTTACATCTTTTCCTTGCAATTCAACGTCAACTTCTTTAAGGGATATTTTCAAACAACAAAATAAGAAAACAATTTATAGAGTGAAAGTATTTTAGACTCCTAGTCATCACCATAACTCAAAATTTAGAAGCAATTTTCCGTAATCAATTATAGCAGCACTCATTTTGGAACGCGTAAATTAAAATCATCAACCACTTGCTGGTTTGGACATTTTTGGAAACAATAATTCAAGTTCCAATGCATGGATATATACTATCAGAAAAATAGAGAATTGGAACAAAGTGATATAAAGATGATGATGTGAATACCTTCAGCTTGAATCCCCATATGTACTGCAAGGCTTTTCCACTTGATGCAGTATCTTGAAAATATCCATTCTCATTTTTAATTGACTTTTCAGCAGTAAATATGTTTTGAGTTTTCCTCTTAGGCAAGAGAATATCACTGACATCAACATCATCATCATCATCCGTAGATGATTGTTCAAACGATTTTTGTATTCTGGTAAACTCAGCAATCTTGAAAGCTCTAGAAATCCCATGAACCACGAACTTCTCCGAAGTGATCATGTCAGGTGCCACAATCTAAACACCATTAACAACCATGCCTGTCACGAAATCCAGAATCCCATCAATTTCAAGATGCTCATCAGGCACGAGCGTCTTCAAGAGAGTCCTAACCGGCAAAGAAGTGAGTTCTTTGTAGCAAAACTTTTGAGGTAGAATATGAAGTTTCACCGCTTTATCAAGTAAAGTTGAAGGGCAGGGGTCAAGTAAGGTGAAGTCGGGAGGAATAAAAGATGGTAGCAAAAGTTACACCACCTGAAAAATCTTTCTTTATCTCATCAAGAACAGAGTGTAATGCTGTTGAGAATGAAGCATACCCTTTCGCACGAAGCAAGCGAATAATGCGATTCCATTCAACCCCACTCTTAAAGAGGGAGGCATGGGAGGAGTTGGAAAGACAAGCAGGAGAGTGAATAAAAAAATCCAAACCCCTTTGAAGAAGGTCTTGGGCGTGGAAGGGAGAGAAGGGTGCAAGAACCCCATGCACGACTAGTTGCTCTCCAAGGAAAATGTTAGGGTTTGATATCAACACGTTGTTAATCTCGACGGAGTTTCGTGCACGGTCAACTTTGGTGAAGGAGATGTTTTTGTGGCGAAGGAGAGTTGTGAGGCAGGTTCCTTGGGACATCTTGAGGAGGTCGTGGAAGGAGAAGGGGTTGTAGGTGGTGGTGTGGTAGAGGAGGAGGGTTTTGAGGAACCAAAGAGGATGTGAGATGTTTCGATTCGCTGAGTCTCCGATGGCGAAGATGGTTGAGTTTTGGGGCGGTTTGAAGAATGAAGGAGAGTGGTGGAGAAGGTCCGCCATGAGTATGAACCCCGCTCTTCGGAGAGCCTTGGAAGCATTCGAGTGAGAGGTCATGGGGTATGGGCGTGGCTTCTTGTGTTGAGTTCTTGGAATCAGATGAACGCATTGCTGAGGATATGGCAATGATTCCGAGGACTATTGAGGCTGCCATGTAGAGTGGGAACCAACACCAACGGGAATAAACCATGCACAGAAGAACATGAACGTGTCATGCACAACACTGGAAGAAAGAATGAGTGGAAGAAAGAAACGAGTCAGTTTGCTCAAAGATAAAAAGCTAAGGCTTTTTACGTCGCACCCCCAGTAAGCGACGTAAAAGTCTATCTTTTACGTGGCGCCTCTCAGGTGCGACGTTAAAGAGGCTTTTTACGTCGCATACTGGGATGTGCGACGTAAAATTTTTGTCCCATATTTACAAAATTGCCACCCCGTTTTATTTACGTCGAATATACATGCATGCGACGATAATTGGGTGACGTAAAAGCCCTATTCTGCACTAGTGGTAGAAGAATGATTACAACATCTCTCTAAATTAGAAGGAAAGAATAATTACACTCTCTCTTAATAAAATAGGAGAAATCATTTACTAGAAGAACCTAAGAGAAAAAATTTTATATTTTCTCTAATTTAATTACTCTTGTTGGGATGATTTATCAAAACATAAGAGGAAGCCAATATTTATAGAGAAAAAGGGATTTTTTTTTTTTTGCTTGACATTTATTGCCACCGTTGTGGCTAGCTCCCTTATTTTGACTTCCACAAAAATAGCTCTACGGGCAACTGTATTTACATTATAGTTCCAAATTAATTACAGGATCAAAATTATAATTACGTAACTACTTAAATTATAAATTATGTTGTTTGTAATCTTCTTTACTTTGTATTTAACAAAATAGTATTGGATATCACTTAGATAGGGAAATTAATAATTTCTAAATGCAATCTTTGCTGAAAAGAAATATGGTAAAGTATCATATTTCAATGTAAAGGTAATAAGTTTAATTGTTTAAAGACCATAAAAAAAAGCTCTAAGAATAAGAATTTTGTCGCAATTTTGTTTAAACAACTATTTAACGATATATATATATATATATATATATATATATATATATATATATATATATATATATATATATATATATATATATATATATATACACACTTGAATTTGAATATAATTAAAAAAGTTAAGTTATAATTAAGAAAGAGGAGACTATACATATGTGGTAAGAGAATGGTGGAAGGTGAAATAAGTCAGTGAGTTTGAATTCCCTAATTAACACGCTAACATATATAAACATTTGGCGAACGAAAATAAAAAACCTCTTTCATTTTATATTTGCCGTCAAGATTTTCAAAGCATGTACCAATTATCAAAATTCACTCGCTGGAAAAGATGAATTTCTTATGTTTTGGTGTGAAAGGAAAAAACTGCATTTGATTCTACATGCAACATCAAATCTTGTTTATGCAAAGTCATAAAATATTGGCCGACATCAATAAAAGTTTAGAAAAAAAAAAAAAAACATTGGTTTTAATTCTTTCCCTCCTATTCGTTCTTTTCCGGATTCTTTCAGTGATAATTTCTTCTGTGATCAAAACTAAAGTGTTGCGCCCGAAGTCAATCCATGCACCCCATTTCTGCAACACACAATATTTATTACAAAAATATATAACTTGTTATGATGTCTTAGTTGAGGAATTCGGGGAGATTCCAAAACAATTGGCATTAATTAGTATTGTTAAAATTTTAAGAAAATTAAAAATAAGATAATATTATAATATATAAATATATCAAGTAAATTTTATAGAATTAATTAAAATATTTTATTATTTTTAAGTTAATATCAAAATTATTCTAATAACTTATTATTGGATTGAACTATTATTTATCAGAATAATATTCTACATTTATGTGAAGAAGTGTAACGAAAATATTCTTATCAAAGTATTAAAATCGAACTATTTTAATTAAATGAGATATCTCACATTTTTAATAATCGATATTTAACAAAAAGTTGTTTATAATAATTTTTTTTGAATAAGATAATTAATACCAATTTTTTTCATTACAGCAATAAGAATTTTATTTAAAGTTATAAAATAAAACATTTTAATTCTTCACATTTTATTAATTAGGTAATTGGTCAAATACTTAAATTTAAACTATAAAATTTTGAAAAATAAAGAAAATAAAAAATTGAACCCAAGTAATTTGATAATAATAAAAAAAAATATTCATACATAAATGCAATCCCTCGTTTTGAAAAATCAAAAGTTAATGGATTGATTAACTTATTTGGGTTATTGTGATTAATATATTGTTAATGATTTTTTAAAAATAAAGAAATATTTTTAAACTATACGTGAAAGAGCCAAATGACTCTTCTTCCTGCTACTTTTGAAAGTCATTTTTTTATTCGTTATCTTTTCTCTCTTTATCACTTTCATGAAAATATAATTTTTTACCCATTGAAAACTCAACATTTATGATCCAATTAACATCCTTAAGGAATATGTTCACCCAAAAAGAAAGGTTTGACAATTTTTAAGAGAATAACAACTGAATTTGAAAACAATATTTTTCTAACATTCCTTTTATAGTAGATGAAATTTGTGAGAGTCCTCTAAATTAGAAGGAAAACTCAGCGAACTTACACGATTCAATAAACTTTACGTGACTTTTTCTAATAAATTATTATATGCAAATAATTCTAATTTAAAAGTTATTCTTACTAACAAGTGTCCTAAAGTATTAGTTAAAGAAAATTACCTTACACTAAGTAATGCATTATCAAATTATGTATTTTTTTTTCTTATCAATTGTTCTTGAGTATTCTATAATCCAAAAATAGAGGGAAAACAAATGTTGAAAACAGATACACTTTTAAACACATTCTCGTTCCAAATTATTAGAATACAGAATCACCCTAAAAATATAGCAATTAGGACTCTTATTCCTAGAACACAATATGCTACTATGAATCCCTTTGGTAGCCGCTATAACTAGTTCTTTGTTTTTTCTACTTACTGCAACAAATCAACCACACCATATGAAAAATATTAGTTAAAACAAAGAAGAACAACTTAATACTAATCAAATCAATTGCGTTGAACTTCACAACGTTCTTTGGGATGGAATCCTTCCCCAGATGCTTTTTTTGGGATAACAAGGTGCATTCCTGGATCATGGTGGGTTAAACTTGTGTTCAACACAATTGAGTTGTTTACACACTGCACATTGCTGTTAGTGTACACGGCTCTCATTTTGTGAAAGGGTTTCTTGTGGGGTTTGGTTATTTGCATGTATGCACCTTTGTTTTCCCCTGAAATTGTTATGACCCTCATGCCACAGCTATCAGGAGACGAAAGCCTTGTGTCAATACACTTCCCTTTGGCTGCCACCTCTTTTTCATTGTTTCCAATGCCATGATTTTCAACTGATTCATTCCTCAATGAACCACCATTTTCATTAGGCTTTTCATTGGTTACTTCTTCTTCTAGCGCTATCTTAATCTCAAGTTGAGCTCGAGACTTCAATTTGGAAAGTGGGAAGGTCATTGGGGTAGTGAGTTTGAGCTTTTGTGACTGCATTGGACTGTAAACATCTGGTGTTGTTGGTGTATATTTGGTGGCACTTTCCTTCATGTCATGAGAGGAAGTGTTGGTGGTTTTGAGAGAAAGTTCTGCAGGCTGATATTTAGGAAGTGAGTCTGGTGCAGGAGGAGATCTCAGGGAGGTCAAGCGGGACCATGGACGAACTGAAATTGGGTTGGCCATGGCCTTTGGGATTGCCAGAGAAATATCACAAAGTAGGAGGCTTGTTTGATGTGAGCACGAAAATGTATGACTCTTGCAATCTTATTTATAGGTGCGTGAATCAATGCTGATCCAATCACAGGGTGAAATACCAAGGAATATTTATTAGACCATGTGGAAAATAGCTATGACCTGGTACAAAACACTGAATGACAGAAAATGTGAAAAGGATTAGATTCGGTTGCAGTTTGGCACTCCCAGCTGACACAAGCTATACATTGGTCCCCCAAAATGATACTACAATACAAGAATTTGCTTTTGGAGCCCACACTGCGACTAGCTTGTAGTCTCATACATGGTAACTAGAACTCTTAGAAGCTTTTCGTAAAGAATTCAGTGTCTATTTGAGATTTAATGCTGTGTGCCAACCTTAAAAGGTGGCTATAATAATTTTTGCTGTATTTGTATATAGAACATTTATCAGTTGTTCAATTGTTGATAAAAGGCCATAAAAAAGTGTGGACTTTTTTCATATTTCGGCTGCAGACAATCGAATACGTTAATAGTGGAGTGTGACATCGATCTGATGCTTCTTCATATATGATTTTTGTAAGTTCTCCGTTACCAAAATTCAATCAAGAAAAAAGTAGGATTTTCTTATTTGGTGAAAAGCAAAAGTTGGATTTGATTCTCACTTCATCACATCTTAAGTAGGGTGGAGTTAGAAAATATTTATTGCTAAACATCATATCTTAAACAATGAGAATGAACATCTTTTACTTTTGTATTATCTGGGTGTCATGTTCATCTTAAATTTTAATTTTTTAATGTGATTCCTCCTTGCTTATATTGTCAAGATGCTTCTGCATCCCATCATTTCTGCAACATAATATTATGAAGAAAAAAGAGAGAAGAAGAAGCTATTTTTACATCTCCTATTTTACGAACATCTCTCCAATAACTGAATTTAATATTATAATAAAAATAATAAATTATTTTTTATGTTTATTATTATTATTATTATATTAGATATTATACTATCAATATATCACTCCTCTAATATTAATACCAGTGGTAATTCACGTATCTAAATTATGCCTTCATTTATTATTTTCTTTTTATTTATTTTTTATCTAAGTTTTTGGTTAGTTAAAGTGTTGAATGGGTGGTTAATTTTTATATATTTCTTATTATTATATGGGTATGTTCGTGAAAATGTAAGAAAAATTTACTTTTTATAAATTTTAAATGAATATTTTTATTTAAAAATTTCAAAATAAACTTTTTATTACTGTACATAAGTAAACACACTACGCCAACAGTAAAATTGCATCTTTAATGGTGACCCTGTGCAGACAATTTAATTAAAAGATATTTTTTATCTAAAATATCAAAATATTATTTCACTAGGAATTTTCATCTATTAAACATATTTTTTAATTGAAAAAAATAAAAGAGACGTGAGATTAAAAAAAAAATCTAATAATTACAAAATAACAATGAAATCGCGTATCTTGAAAAATTTTAAATTTTTTTTTCATTATCAGTGATAAGAAGGTATTAATAATAAAATTATAAAAACAAGTCATTCAATTTCGGGAAATATCATATTAACAATTATTTATTTGACATGATATGTCAAAATTTGAAATTTAAAAATCTTATTTAATTTAAATTAGACTTGACAAAGTTAAATAATAAAAAAATATAAAATATCTGCCACGTTATATAAACGAAATTACAAGAGTCTATCAAATAAAATAGATCTATCATTATATTCATAATAAAAAATAACTCGTTCATAAATAAATTCAATCAATTCATTTAAACAAAAAAACAGAAGTTAATTCATTGAATTATTCAGTTTACCTTGGTTGATACATTTTTTTTTGTTACAATTGAAATTAATAGCAGATTTCAAGTATTCTGTTCTTCTTTGATATATGTTTTTCTAAAGAATATGTTCACTCAAAAGATGGGTTTGACAATTTGTAGGAAAAATAAAATGATTTTGTAAAGAACTTTTCTTAACATGTTTTTTTATGTTATATGAAATATACATGAGACCTGTTGAATAAGGTGAAAAACTCAAAGAAACTTACATTATTTAATGAATTAATTTTATCTAACTTTTTCTAATATAAAATAATTGATATTACCACTGGATAAATGTTTTGCTAATATTTTGTATTAAGAGACGATGAAGGTGAACATGAAGAGCTAGTAGAGAATGAATTACTTGATGGAAATGAACACAATGAATATAATGTGGAAGATGCAGAAATCAATGAAAAAGAGTATGATGAGGAAAGTGAATTTGATGATGATTACAACTCTGATGATGATGATCAGAATGTTGATGAGTCATATAATTTTGATGAAGAAAGTGATGTTAATGCCGATGATGATGATTATAATGATAATGAAGACGATGATGAATGATTTTTGTATTTTCATTTCGGTGAGTATTTAATAATTATAAGTACAATTAATAATGTTCCCATCAAATTATTATTTTTTTGTTTCAAACATTTCAATTAATATGTTATTGTTTAATTCATTACTATTACTTATTAAATATATGCAATTTTCTTACACATTTTTGTTTTTTTTGTTATATGTGTAGATGTCAGACAAAAGAAAAACTAAGCTTATTTTAAAAAGTCGTTTGATGAAGCATCAATTGAATCAATTACCAAGAAATAACATGGTTGGACCACAAGTTGCACATCTATTAGTTGGAACTATTGCAGAACATGTTAGTTCTACCCCTTCAGTACAAAATAAGTCTATTGAAGTCCCTTCTGTTGGACCACACATTGGTCGTACTCCACCACTTGGAGGAAGTTCTAAATCTCTTCCATTAACTTCTCCACCATTAGGACCACAATCACCACATGAGACACCTTCCCCACAAAGTCTTCAAGCATCTAACCCTCAAACTCAAGGCACATTTGTTTCTCATGATGATCACAATGTATCAGATGTTCAGAGCACCTGTGAGAAACCCATTTTAACACTTGATGGATATGGGTAAATCACTTAAATTTTAACAATGTTATATTTTGTTCATATTCTATGTACAACTTGTACTTTATGACTTTATTTTTGTTGTAGATTTTTGCCTTCATACTTTGCAGCTACTGCCATTGGTGATATTTTCAAAAGTCATTACAATGATGCATGGCCATCATGGAAAAAGGTACCTCAAGATATTCGAGACATGTGGTTTAGTGAGTTCATGGTATGTATTTATATTAATTCTTAACTTTAAAATAAGTTCCAAATATTGAATGTCCTATAACATTTACTTGTTTTGTTTGGGTACAGAGAAAATATACTATTTTCCCACCTGATCATAGGTTGGCTAGAAGAAACTTTGAAATGCGAGGTGCCAACATATTGAAAAGTTCACTAAACAAGGCACACATGATAATGAAGAAGCCAAATTGGCTTGCAGAAGATGTATGAGATATCTTATGCCAACATTGGGGATCAAAACAATTCAAAGTAAAAAGTTTGATTGCAAAAGCAAATAGAACTTCTGATTGTGATGGACTTGGAATTTCACTCCATACTGGTGGCTCCATTAGCACTTCTCAACATAGAGAACATTTGGTAAAGTTTGCTTTATACTCCTTTATACATGTATTGGCCCTATATGTTATACTTTTAAACTTATAATGTATATGTGAATTATGGAATCCTGAACTACATTTAGGTGTGGAAAGAATGTATGTTAGTTTTAGTTTAAATTTCATTGCATGGTGTTATTTATGATGGAAGAGAAAAATAGTTATTACATTACATATTGTCATGACTTGACAAACTTATTTTCTTTTATGGTGGATATTGTACTTCTAAGTTTGTGTTTTTAACTATACTTTAGATAAAGTTGAATGGAAAACCCCCTACCCCATCAGAGTTGTTCCGCAAAACACACAAACGAAAGGATAACACATGGGTGGATCAAAGATCAGCACATGTTGATGTAAGTTCCTTGTTTTTCTTCTTATGTTAATTTTTTAAACAATTGTATCCTTTTTTATGTTTTTATCCAATTCACTACTATTCTATTTTAATGTTTATAGGCAGAGTTTAGTCGTGCCTGGGAAGAAGTCTCTCAATCAGGATCTATTGCAGGAGGTTCTCCGCCTGATGAATTACAAGTTTGGTGTAAAGTTGCTGGAATAAACAAAGGCAAAGTATATGGGCTTGGATCTGAGTCAAGCAAAGCAATTGGGAGAAATCTTTGTCACGACTCTACTTCATCATCTGTCCAGCTTATGAGGGAGGAGATTGAACAATTAAAAAACAAGTTACAGGAAGTTGAGACTGAAAGGGATGATCTCCGTGAAAGAATGTTAACTAATGAGAGACAAATTCAGAAAAATGATAAAATGTTGCTCCTCTTGATGGAGAAGATGGATGTTAAACCTCCTCAATTGTGAACTGATTCTACTATGTATATTGTATTTGTTTTGTTAGTATCTGACATTTTTAGAATTATGACTCTTATTTTAGTTTATTCTACTTACTTTTATATTGAATTTTCAATATGTAAGAAATTATTTAATTCATGAATGATGACTTTATTTAGAACAAAATTTGTGGTATTATTTTGATGGTTATCTTAGGTAGTGAAATTTTCATATATTTAATATAATATATAATGTATTTCATAGGTTTATCGTTATTTTAAAAATAATATAAAAAGTAAGATCAAATTAGTGACCGATATAGTGACCGATTTGGTTATATATATTCGGTTACTGAATCGGTCACTAATTCGGTCACTGAATCGGTCACTAATTCGGTCACTGAATCGGAATTGGGTTGGCCATGGCTTTTGGGATTGCTATACTCAAGCCTTAATTGCAAGAGAAATATTACAAATGAGGCTTGTTTGATGTGAAGTGAGCACGATAATTTATGACGCATGCAGTCTGATTTATAGATGCGTGAATCAATACTGATACAATAGGAAATCATAAATAGCTATTAAGCTATAGTACATAACGCGGAATGACAGGAAAAAAGTTAAAAGCATTAGATTCGAAAGGCATTAATTCGGCACTTTCAGCTGACACAAGCTAGTTATTGTTATTCATCAAAGTATTTTAAGCCTTTCGTGAAGAATTCAGTGTCTGTTTGAGAATCCAATCACATGAAAATTCAATGGTATAAGATGAAACTGAAGGTTAAGCCTACATTAACAAGATGACAATTTGATCAGGTGGTATCTGTAAACTGTCTACATTTAGATTCCTGGTATGAAATGAACTAATGATTTTCATGCTTAATTGTGGATGCTTTTGACATTTCAGCCGCGAAAAATAGTATAAATATATTGTGGAATGTGATGCCTGCAAATGTACCGTGAAGTATGTGTACTGTGCTTAGAACGGTTCGATTACAAGTACCTCATTTTTTAGAGTTATCCTCTCCGCTGAACCCACTCGATATCTTTTAATGGACGAGAACTCTCACTTCAATGATACCTCCAACGTACCAGTACATGATTAATTGTCAATTATCAAAATCAACCTTAGTGGAAAAGTTTAATTTCTTCTTCTTGGTGAAGGGAAAAGTTTGAATTTGATGTCTCTCGAACCAGAGATCTATGGCTTAGGGTATATTTAATATATACTCTGAAAATATGATTCATTGAACAGTGTAGTCTTCAAAAAAGGAAACTTGCTTATTTCTAACTTATATATATGACACCGATGTCATGACTCATTATCAATGGGTCAACTTTTTTTTAGAACAATAATTTGAGAACATCTATACAAAAATAAGATTTTTATATTGATTATTTTCATCATTTTCTACTCTAATAATCAGAGATTTCCCTTTAATTCATAACCGGTCAAAAAGATATACATATAATCTCGGTTCTTTTTATAAATTTTTTTTTACAACTAATATTATATATTCATTTAAAATATATATATATATATATATATATATATATATATATTACACGTATAAATATCAACCTTTTCACACATAATAATTAATAAAGTATTATTTATTTTTTATATTTTCTCACACAATACAACATAATTTTAAACAACAATTAAATAAGTTTTACATTATTATTATAATTTACGCACTTGCTTAACTAGTATTATAAATATGTATATATATATATATATATATATATATATATATATATATATATATATATATATTAAATCATGATTAACGTGAGAAAAAACTAATCATATAAGTGAACTCTGTTGTAAATAAGCTCTCTTTTTATTATTGACTTTTAACATACATCATATAATCACCCTCATAACATAGAATTGAGGACTCTTATTCCTATCACACAACAAATACATAATTACCCAACAATAGTAATTATACTTGTGGTCTACCATTCTTTTCCACTCTTCAAAACATGGAACACTACAGTTAGAACATCACAATTTATCCTAATCAATGTTACACTCATAACATAAACTTATTATTTTAATTTTTAGTTTTTACTTAATTACGTATCAACCGCACCATAACTAAGCTTAAAACAAATAAGAACTATGCCTCCAAATCAATTGCGTTCAACTTTATCACGTTCCTTGAGATGCAATCCTAGGGATGTTGGTTGTTTTGGGACAATAAGGTGCACTCCTAGTTCATGGTGGCTTAAACTAGTGTTGAATAGCATTGAGTTGTTGACGCACTGCACGTTGCTGTTTCCATACAAAGCTCTGATTGGAGGAGAAGATAGTTTTCTGACTTTCTCACCATCAGAATTCCTCATCTTGTGAATGGGCTGTTTCTTTTGGGATTGTGTTATTTGCATGTAAGCACCTCTGTTTTCCCCTGAAATTGTTATGACCCTTACGCCATGGCCCTCATTTTCTTTGCTTTCATTTGGGTCAATGCCTTGGTTTTTAGTTTCTTCTGATACATGCTTCAATGAAGCATTTCCATTTCCACTAGGCTTTTCAATGGTGACTTCTACCACCGGCTGAGGGTGAACCTTCAATTTGGCAGGTGGAAGGATCATAGGGGTAGTGACTTTGAGGTTTTGTGAGTGGATTGGGCTGTGAACATCTGGTGCTGTTGGTAGAGAGTTGGTGGCAATAACAGTGGCATTGGTGTCATGAGAGTTAGTGTTTGTTGTTTTGAGAGAAGGTTGTGGAAGCTGAGGTTTAGGATGTGACTCTGCAGCAGAAGGGGATCGCAAAGAGGCCAAGCGAGACCATGGACGAATTAGAATTGGATTAGCCATGGAAATGCTGAACTGGAGCCTAGAGAAATTAATGGTGGAAGCTTCTTGGTTTGAGTATGAAATGTGTCACTCATAAAAGCCTATTTATAGATGATGTTTTGATGGTGAAACAAGAACAAAGTTTGATACTGTAGCTAGTAACAACTAACAAAAATGGAATGACAGCAAATGTGTGTAAAGCATTAGATTCTATAAATAGTATTTAAAAATGATGTTTTAGGTTAAATTGAAACTAGTAGGGTTGACATTTTGTACTTTAAAAAAGTTATTTTAAAACAATGATAATTAAAAATAATAATGATTTTCAATCACCATAGCTTTTATATTCTGGAGGTGGTGAAGGAGTGAGAGAGGGGAACCATGGAAGAAGAATAGATGCTCTTAGAAGCAAGGTCTTGAAACAACATGATGTCTTCCCACAACCAGCATCGATTCTCTTTAACATCTTTTTATCTATGCTCGTGAAAATGGAGGTAGAAGAAAGAATGTGTGAGACAAACAAAACCGTTAAAATTGAGAAGCATGAGATCATATCTTAATAAGAAAAAAATTATGATATGAAATTTTCATTAAGAATACACTTGTTTTTAGACTACTTCTCTCTCTGTCAATTCCATTAAGAATAGTATAGTAACAATTGAAAATGATTTTTTAAATATAAGATACTTTTAATTGAACAAATGGAATATTTGCTTTTCGATTTATCATGCTTCTTTCTACACAACATATTTTATCATAAAAGTTTGACTTCTTTTTTCTTTTTTATATGGTTGACTATTTATTCGGTAGAAACTTGGCATATATACTTTACATTTAATAATAATAATAATAATAATAATAATAATAATAATAATAATAATAATAATAATAATAATAATAATATTTATGAAAACCCACAAACAACCGTTGAGTGTTGAAGCTTAAAGCTTTTCATTTGAAGACACAAGAATCTGTACTATCCAACAGTTTCCAATGTTTCCAAAATGTTTTCTTTTTCTCACAACATATTTAACGATTTCTTATTGTCTTAAATATCCGTAATCAAACTTTTTCCAAATAAATTTACTTAAATATTCTACGCTTTATCTTAGCTTGAAACCAACAATGAGGGTTTAACACAAGGAATTAAGTGATTAAGAATACAAAGGTAACCTAACTTTCTTTATGAGTGCATGTTTGATATTTTTTAAGCTATTCAAATTTTGTTTGGTGGATAATTTCCTGACACATAAAAACTAGTTTTTTCTGAAAGATTAATTATAGTAGTCCCTAAATAAACAACCATTTTGATCCCTAAAATTATCAAACGTTTAATTATAGTAGTCCCTAAAATATTATTTTTCTTTCTTAATTTATGAAATAAAAAATAATTTAACAAAAAAAATTATTTTCTTTCTTATCAAGAAAAACAATTATTTTTAAAATATTAAAAAAACAAAGTTAGATTATTATTATATTATATTATATTATTATTATTATTATTATTTTACAAATAATTAATATTAATATTAATAAAAAAATATTATTCACTATTAATATTATTATTATTATTATTATATTTTTGTATTTATTTAGCTTGTGGTCGTTGTAAACATTATTAAGGCTTAAACAACTATTAAACTCGTAAGTATTTTATTTTTGAAGTCCAAAAAATAAGCCTGCTCATTTTTTCATCAAACTTCAAATTTCAAAGCTAAAAGTTAAGAAGTTGATTTATTTTTCTTTTCCAAACATTTTATTTCTTGGATTTTGTAAAATATCTTCACCTTTATAAATACTTTGTTTCCTATTTAGAACTCTTTGTGCTATCATTTTCTCTTTAATTTTTCTATCTAAAGTTTTCCACTTTATTTTGTTTCTATACATGTTTATTTTCGACCTGGTTTTTTACTTATAGTTTTTGCCTAATATATGTGTTACAATGTCTTTCCAAATAACTGAGAGTTTTTGACTGAGTTTTTTAACATATATCTCAACTTTTTAAATTTTAAAATTTACACTATCTTTTGTTTTATTTTTACTTTTTTTAATTTCAAAGTGTTCCATACATGATCTTTACATGTCTTTTTCTAAAATTGGTATATTTTTATATTATTTAGTATTCTTTTATTTTTATTTTTATTTTCATTGTTGTAGAATTTTGGTTAGGTTGACCGTGAACATGGTAAAAAATTATATTTGGAGGATGAAAAGGGAATACCCATGTTCTCACATATAACATGGTATTGGAGAGACCACTGACAGAAGAATGGACTGAGTTAAGGAACTTCTATCACCTTTCTGACATGTAGAATTTAACATTGATACGTGAGAAGAGATTTTGGTTGATGTAATTTTGTATTTATGGATTTGCATAGATTTCAGAGATTTATGTGTAAGTGTACGCAATTTATGCAGCACTGATTATGGAGGTGGTATAATCAATTATAGAGCACTGTTATGCATATTTGATTTTATCATCATTTTAGTATAATTTTTTTTTATCTTTTTATTTTAAAATTTAATAAATAATTTTTAGAACTTAAAAAAAAATTATTTTATTGATTTTAATAAAAAATATTAATATTACATTTAGATATAGAAAATATTAACATTATATTTAACTTTTTTATTAATTTTATACAAATAAAAATTCATAAATAAATTACATTTTTTTAAGTATAATAAAAATAAAATTTCTTCTGTTTAAAATTAGATTATGAATTTCAAATATTATATTTATCAAAATCAATAAATATAAAAAAAATCAATATAATAATCACTCTAATTAAATTTTACCAATTTTTTTAATAATTACAAATTTAAGTTTTACTTAATTTATTTATTCTACCACAAATAATTTGATTATTATATTAAAAATATTATTATTTAATTATTTTATATTTAATTACTTTAATCACATAAATTAAAATAAATCTAATCAAATTTCTTTAAATTTATTATCTTTCCTTTAATCCAAACAAAAGCATAAAAAAATCTTATGTTTCAGTTTAAAATATTTAAAAAGATTTGCTCTTCTCAAATTATAGACATGTTTCAGACCCGTCTTCCTAGACTTGAACCTAACTATATATAAAAGCAAAAGAAGTCATTGGATGTAATTTTTCTTCTATTTCTCAAGCCTATATACATTTTAAGTTTTTAAGAATATATATATTTATTGTCTAAAATGATGAATTTGTTATTTCTTACTATTTTGCCACCTATGTTTGCAAAGGAAGATTTAAAAACATTGTCTCTTCATGGGACAGCCAATAAAGTGAGATGCAAACTTCTCATTAGAAATTCACGGAAGAAATCCACCAAAATAGAAAAGGAATGGAAGCATGAATTCAAGGAAGGGAACAAGGTAGCCTTTGAGGTTGAGAAGCATCCAAAGAATATTATCAATGTTTTTATTCACTTACCATACTTTATCTAATAAGGATTTATTTAAGCACCTATGTTTTATCTTTCATAGAAACGCAACACAATTATGTTACAGCGTACTTTTAATTTTATATATTTATATTTCATGTAATGTTTGTTTAGGTATTTTATATTATAAATATATTTAATTGAATAATTTGAGCGTGTTTATTTGGTGGTATTTTCTTATTTTTATCATTAATATAAGATTCTGGTACAATAGCACACAATCCACAGGGTTAAAATTGCAAGCAGACAAACATATTTACCCACAATTTGCTTCGAATGAACGAAGATAATTTTTAACAAACCAAATGCGTGCATTGAGTGACTTCAGATGACATCAAACATTGAAGTTGTTGCCACGTTTTGCCTTCCCGCCTTTGATTCGTCAAAAGAGGCAGAGTAGACTGGCCCCTTATAATTATATCTGGGGTAGATCTTGATCTGTCTTAGTAAAAGATGGGTTGCCGGATTAACCTATCATATTTAAGAAAAAAATATTTTATTTTTTAAAATAAATTTTTTTAATAAATTTAATAATAAGATTATTATTTGTTTATCAATAATTCAATTTAATATTTTAAATCAATACATTATTTTAAAAAATTATAATTTAGAATAATAATAAAATTTACATAATAATAAATAATAATAAATATATATATATATATATAACATTAAATCTTATAAAATTTATATTTTTTATATTAAAAAAAATTTAAATATCTATATCTTTTTTATTTGATAAAACTTCACATTATTCTTGGTGGAGTAATTCTTACACCTTTAATTCAAGTCATAAAGATAAAAATAAGTTTAGGATGAACAAGGAGAATAGGAGAAAGAAAGTTGTGTTTAAGTAAGGAGAATATTTTTTGTAAGAGTGAAACTTTTTTAATTCTCTTTTTAAACTTTTTAACTTTATATATTATCTTTATAATTAACTTTATTACAATAAAAAATTATTTTTTTATTAATTAGGCGGATCATGGACTCGACCCGCTCTATTCAGCGGGTTGGTCCGAGGGGTTGACGAGTTTAGCGGAACGGGCTAAAACGGACTGATGAACTGAAAACAACAACCTGTTCCACTGGCAGGCTGCCCCGTTTTATCATCCCTATTGTCACATTAATAGAAACGACAACTTGGATGGTTTTACATATCCAATTCCTACATGTATGTTTCTTTCTTTAGAAAGGTACGTGTTAAGTGCATAATATTACATGTTTTTACATTCATAATTACTCACTTAATGATGCATAAGTGGAAATTTACCTTGCAAAAATATATTTATTTCATTAAATCTATGACAAGGTATAATTTCTAGAACCTGATTGTGTTTTTTGGAAAAAATGTATTAAATTTGGGCCTTTTTGGTAACTTAAAATTTCAATATCCGCTCAGCGGAATACCAGGCACTCAGCGGATATGAGGCTGTAAACAGAATTTTTACTTCAATTCCGCTCAGCAGAATTTCTTGCGCCCAGCGGAATTGTAGCCGTAACAAAAGGGGAATTTCAAGTTTCAATGCGCCCGGCGAATTATGATCCGCCCAGCGGATTAGGTTCCTTCAAGCTGAAGTATTTACATATCCGCTTAGCGGATTAATTGGAGGTGAGCGGATGATAAACCCCTGTTTTAATATAATGGATTTTTAGTGAGAGAAAGGGGTATCGAAGAAAAAAAAAACAAAAAGAAAGAAAGAGAGAGAGAGAGAGAGAGAGAGAGGAGATCAACCGGAGCTTCAGGAACACAGATTCGAAGCAAAATAGAAGGCTGGATAGCTTGGGAACAAGGATCTACCTTCACTGTTGCTTATGTTTTGTAATTTTCTTCTTTCTCCCTTCTCTGTACTTTCTCCTATGAGGAACTAAATTCTATAGATTGAATATGATGTAAATTCTATTTTGCAATTCTCTGAATGTAATCAATTTCTGTTTACCTAGTTGTGTTTGATTTTGTACGTATTACTTAATTTGGTTTGATTAACTAGATTAAGATTTAAGTTTTTGAGGTATTCGGAAGAAAATCTGAAATTTTGGAACTGTTCAAACACCAAGTAAAATCAAATTGTAGGAATAAATTTGGTTTTACTTGTCCCTGATATTCAGAGTGAAAATTTAATGCTGGATGTTGATTTTGATTCATTGAGGAATCATGTTGAAAAGTCAACATTTTAGATATTAGTATTGAAGAATCATACTGAGTGAATTAAGGAGAATGAAATTGGACTAACAGAATCATGATGATTAAGAAAAAGGTAGAATAGAAAATGCATCATATTTAATCACTCATTATAGTTAAATTTCTTTTATTGTTCTAATTTTATGTTTATATGTGTGGTTACAAGATATTTCAAAATCTGTAAATGGTTAAGTATAAAGATTCATTTAAATTAGAATCATTAATTCACAAATCCCTCTGGACGACTTTATAAATACTACATCGAAACTTGGTACACTGCCAAGTAAAATTGTGAGTAAGAAAAAGTTCACCAATACGTATGAACCATCGATTGTAGTGACTTAATATTTGAGAGGTGACATACCAAACACAAATAATCATACAAGTCATTAAAATGGATTGAAAACAAAGATGAATTGAAATTTGAGGTCATTTACGTACATATTTACCCATTGAAACGCATTTCTACTCATTTTTTGGAATTTAGTTTCTATATGTTGAAATTTTAATATGTATATTAAGTCTTTCCTAATACAGCATTATTTTACTACCCATATTTCAAGGTTATGAAAGATTTCTCATTTTACCCAAATAATCTACCTTTGCATGATTTATAGATATTATAATTTACTTTTTTTAGATGTTTATTTTTTAGTATTTCTGTTATTATTAATCTTATTCTGATATTATTTAGTAATGATATGTAATGATTCTTGTCTCAATAAATATGAAGACACATATTGAAAAAAAAAAAGATGGATATTTTAAATTTTTTTATTACATTCTATTAGATTTGTGAAATTTGGGATCATTTCTTGTCATTTTACCTACAGCCACTAAAACAAGAAAATATTTAATTCATTATTAATATTTATTTTAATGTTAAATTATTATTTATTAATAATAATAATAAAAAATACTCCCATGCTAGTTTATTACAACAGAAAACATGGCTCAATTGCCATATCAATGAACAAGAGGAAACGATTTACATTTACATAACAAGATGTTTTTGGAATCTGAATTTCACTACTCTAAGAATAATCAATTACTTACAGTGACATTTATGTCGTCTCCTTCACTTTAATTAGACACACATTTGCACTTTTATAAACACAAGAGTGATCTTAAAAATGAATTTATGTGGTGATTATGGTGTTGCGAATTGGAGAACATTCAAGGCCATTCTGTGAACTCAAACACTTTCAATAAAATGTTGAATCCAGTGGGGAGTTGTGACACAAATAGCAACACGTTTAAGGTGTTCAACGCAATGTGAAGACTTCTAGTTGTTTCACTCCCTCTCTGCATTGATGGTACCAAAGCTGCTGAAAGTGCCCATAAAACTGTAATACCTGCTCACAAAATTTTGACTAACAATCATTTTCCATACCAACAAGGACCACAATTACAGTATTTCTTTAGGTCGAAAGATCCTATGTCTGATCATCTCAGATAATTTACTGTTTTACTAAATGTATAATTGATCATTCTGTTGAAAAAGCTAAACAACATTGCCAAACTCTTCTAATTCTTTTCTTTTTTTCCTTAAATTCTTGCTCTGTTTAATTAATTTCATCATCAAATGAAAATTTAAAATTTTACCTGCTCCTGCAAACAGATGTGGACCTGGGAATAACTTTCCTGTCCTAACCCACGTGTTCAACCCTCCACCAACAGCGTCAAGCACTCCAAGTCCTAGCAGTATGGATCCTGCATTATAGTGCCTATCCCTGTAAGATCCTTTGATTAGCTCTTTCCTCTCCTGAATATGAGAAGCCAAGTAATTAGGTACTCCTCATAATTCAGCAATACATAGATATAGGTGTTTGGATCAGATTTAATTCATTTCTACTTTGAAAACTAGAGCATCATATGATTACTTCTACGTTTTCAATTTTCGGATGTGATTTTGGGGACTAGAATCAATTCTGGTAGTTGTCCAATCATATAAGCTCCAACTCAATCTAACTTTCAGTAATTGACACAAAACTATCCTGGGGCAAACTTCTACGCTAATGAAATTGAGAAAACAAATGAAATTAGAAAGATAAGAACGGCAACAAAAAAGGGAAGGATACATCAGTAAGTTGCTGAATTTTGAGTTCAATTTGTGATGGTAGCACTTCTTGTGGTGCACCTTCTGGAGTGACTGGGGTAGGTTTCACTTGTTTCTTCAGCTCATTAATCTCATTCTGAATAGTCCTCGCCCTCCTCCACTGCCACCCCAAATATCCTACCCACAAGGTATACAAGAACAAAGAAGCCATGACAATGGGGTGTATGAGAGCAAATGTTCTGCCCTCAAAAACCCCAAACTCCCCGTCAACAGCAAGTGCCACATCCTGTCTCAACAACAATCATGCCACAAAGTGAGAGAGAAATTAACCCCTTTAAGATTAACAAGTGTGACTAATCATGATGGGATCACAAACAACTAGGACCAGAAATCCTTGCCTTTTGGTCTAACAAGAAGGGGAGTGTGACTGCTGCGAGGGAAAGAGAGGCAGTTTTGAGAACATTGCTGGATTGATCCAATATTTTGTGTGTGTTGAGTATGGGAGGATCTTTTGAAACATTGAATCTCGAAGAGATGTGGGGAAGTGGATAAAGTTTTGTTGGGGTTGAATGGTGGTGTGGCTTGTCAGGAGCAATTGAAAGAGTTAGGAAACTGAGTTTGGAGGCCATCAGCATCCTCTAGGAAGGAAGATTGAGGCAGGAAGGAGACAAGAGAAGGATCTGAAGGTGAAAACAAAAACAAAAAAAACTGAAAAAAGGAACAGTACAATAAGATAAGATCCATTGGATGTTGAGATTTGATATAGGGTGACGTTGGATTACACTCAATTGACTAAGCTTGCATGGCATGTGACATGTTCACATGACACAGAAAAAAAAAATTCAGAATACACATGTAAAGAGACTAGAAGAGGCTAGAGACAATTAGACACTGGTAAGGTCGATTATTTGTAGTTGACATTTTTCCTGACGAACTAATATAGTATAAACCTTTACAGTAGATGTTTGATGGATCGTATTTTTAGCCCAGAGGCTCCTAATGAAGTAACCCACATAGTTTTGGGGCTTTTCACTGTTTATCAGGACTTGGACTTCTAGCCTATAAAGGATAGCAATAAGTCCAGTTCAAACCTGACCATCTACATAAGGGGAAACCCACTTCTTCCACCTCATGAAGTACCTTTGCTTAAACTTTTTCTCAATCTATCCTCCCATCAAGTATTACCAGTTACTTCTCTAACCTAGAGCCAAATTAACCTTTGTGAAGTTAACTATAATTATTAAGTTTTTCCAATACTCATAGAATTCTCTCTAAAGTACGTTCTACATTTTACATTCTTCATGACCTTGTTTAGCGGTAAAGGGTCAACACAAACTTGTTCAATAAAATTGCAAGATTAGCCATCAAATTAATCTGATGTTTTACCACTTTATTTATGTATCTATCTTTTTCCGTCACGTCACGGCTATGCAAAACATTGGTTGGACACCCCCACATATTCTTGTAGTATTGTGTAGTTGTGTTTCCACCTAATTAGTAGATAACATTCTTAATATATATCCTCAAACACTGCACATGTTGAAGTCGTTCACGGCAACAATAATAATATGTGATAATAATCACTTAATTTGAAGAAGTTGAATTTTCTCAATCAATTTCTGAGCATTGCGGGCAGCCTTTTCCCCTGAGTAACAGTGATAGTACACTAATACCTTTTCTCCTTACATTGACTGCTTCATTAATTTCATCGACTTTTCTGACCCTGTGCCTCTCAGTTCCTTTTTATGTCTCTCCATCCTCACTGCATTTCAAAGTTCGATAAAATCTCTTCATATCCAAGTAACTGCCAAAATCCCTCATGTGATCCTGAAAACAATAAAAGCACTTTGAATGGTACAATCATGGTAAAATTGTTTTGTTCACTTTGAATCTTACCAGAATGATGTTTGACAAGTTCATAAAGAAAGCATTGAATTTTATAATTTTGTTCCAGTTTTAGAAAAAAACGGAGAGAATCATTGTTTATATAACTAGTAAATTTAATATAAGATACCATATCAATTGTTTTAATTATAATTAATTACGAGACTGCAAAATAAGTAGTTTTTAAATTTAAGAATCTCATAAACAACTTGTATTAGAGTTGTTATAATGACGATGATAAAAGAAGAAAAAACCACAGTTAATCGAAATGCATGTTTCATGCATGCATAGCACTGCAAAGAAAAATAGATACTATAATATAAAGAATGAAAGACAAATAAATGGATCTCATATTGAGCTGATGCAGATACAAATAATTATTGTGCAGGCTCAACCAATTTGCCACAGTATGCAGCTTTTGGAGGCTCCACCAAATCCTTAGGTTCTCATGGATTTTTGTCGTATTTACTAGTGATTTCATTATTAATATGTGCAGAATCATACATGTCAACAACACAGAGATACTCAAAAAGTTATTACTTAAAAAACATATATAAAAAAGCTAGAAAGCCTAAAATTCACGTGTTGTACTGAACAGAAGGGAGATGCATGCAATAATATATACCTTGTTGTGTTTTATTTGCTGATGTGAAACAGTTAATTAAGACAAAAGCAAAGGATGAAACAGTCCAAAAAGACATACTGGAATGATGTCTTGGCAACATGCTTAATTAATCAGTGAAGTGTCGTCAAGAAGAGCATTGTTCTATCCTTACAAATTACAAGCCATGATGATATATATAAGGATGAAACTGGGGCAGGTTTTGCCCCAGTTTTTTCAATTTGATTTTGGATTTTGACCATAATTGTCTTCTATTTGGAATTTCAATATTTCTCACCACTTGAAACATTCCTCTGCTTGACTTTTTTAATGTTAAAATCAAGCACAAAATAAGAATGTCTATTAAGACTTGAAGTGTCTTACTTACATAAGAAGAAGCTTCTCAAGGTTGAACGAGTAGCAATAGTTTGTGTCCACAATTTCTTCAGCTCTTCGTTGTTGCAAGGGTTAAACTATGAGAAACAAATCAAGTCATGCATGAGGGTGATGTACGAGGCAATAAACAATAAGTATAAGGGAGAAAACATTAAAACAAAAAATAGTTCATGAAATAATTATTTATTATTTTTTTTTATTAATAATTATAAAAATACTTTCTTATTTTTTACTTTCTTTCTTTTTTTCAAAATTTTTAAAATGGTTGTGGATATACGAGAAATCATGAATGTACACGATATTTTCATCATTTATGTACAAATCCTTAAAAACATCTGATGTTTTTATAATTATTAATGAAAACATAAGAAAAAGAAATTCACAAACATCACTTACTTATTTTAAAAAATATATTTTCTGTATTTTTTTAATAGCCAAAACTACTCTCAAGGCATTTGTGTTTACAAATTAATACCTCAACTATATATCAAATGGATTTTTTTTTTAGATAATTCAAATTTCGAATGCTTTTAAAACTAGATCACTAGTTGAATTAACACTTAAAACAAGAAAAATGAATTAAGACATTTTTTGTAACATAAAACTTGTTTATAGATAAATTAATTTATAGAAATTTATAATTTAATTTTTTTTATTTCAACTATTACATAAATTAGTTTTAATTTGCAAAGGTGATGTAAATGATTAATTATTTGATTTCTCCGAGTTTATTTTGAGTTGTAAATAAATTACTTTTCATTTATAAAATAAATTATTTTTAATAAATGTTTGGATGTTTTATTTTAGAAACCAGTAAATAATAAAATATAATATATTTATTTAATAAAATTTTTATTTAAAGAAACTTATGATTCAAAATTAGTTTTAGACGTATAATTAATAAATTTTCATCATCAAACCAAAATTTGTCAAATAGAGAGAAAATTATTAAATTTGACAGATTAGTAGATTGAAATAAAAAAGTAGCTAGTGAGGGACTAATGGATGGAATCTGATGTCATGATTAGAGAAAGAAATAAAAGATATATATAATTAATCTCAAAAGTCATTCTTATTATATAATAGGGTGAAAACAAAGGACGAGGGAAAGTCGATGACGTCAACAACAAAAAAAAGTGCTTCAAGAAAAATTCAACTTAAAAATAAAATCTTAATATATTAAAATTTAAAATCAAATATATATATATATATATATATATATATATATATATATTGGTCTTAAAAACATAAATTCACCAAAAAAATAAAAACATTTATTCTAGATGAAATAATTTTTAATATAATAATATTAATACAAAGACATTATGACTCTTACGTAAAAAAATTTATTTTAAATAATTAAAATCCTCTATATGCATAAATTATTTTTTAAAAGTTTTATTTAAATATTTTTAAAATAAGTATTAGCGAGTTATTTTTCATTTTCATTCTTATTTTAATTTAATAATTTACTATAATAACTTATTTTAATTATTAAATAAAAAACATTATTATTTAAATGAACTATTTTCTTAATATGTTAAACTATATAATTGAATATTATCAGAACAATAAAAATATAAATATAAATAAAATAAAATAAAATAGTCAACATTCATACACACCAAACTTATTTAACTTACAACCAAAATAGTCTTACCCGAAGTAAATGGGCCAAACAATACCAAATTCTATCTTCCACAAACTACAGCAGTAAAAAGCACAATACTACTAGATTGAGATGTTCCACAAAAGACCAATTATGACACATAATTGAAAAGAAAAAAAAAATCCCTTTAAAATAATAGTACAAAATTGTTTTTTCGCATATGCGAATGTAATTAATATTGATAAGACATGCTAATTTTATTGTATATTATAATGAGACATACTATCTTTTTTGGTAGAAAATCCAAATTGTTTCCTTTTTCATCTTTTTTTTTTCTTTCATATATTATCAAAAGGTGTCCTTTATTTAAGAAGCTAGTGTCAAAATTCAATTTTTTTTTTTTTAATAACAGTTAATAGATAGTTTCTTTAAGAGCTCATCAATAGTTTGCACATATAAAAACAAGTACTTGGTTTTCCTAATTTGCTTGAAGAAATAGTCAACTTTGATTTTATTAAAATTTGCTTCAGAAAGTCTAGTTGTGAGTGAGGGAAACCTAGATTGAAATTGTGGAGAGTAATGTTCAGAGAACTCAACTTACAAGGTATTTATGAACATGTTGTATATTATAATCTTTTTTTGTTGGATCCGATATATTATAATTAGAAACATGCTTAACATTATTCTGAATAAAGACAAATTTATAGAAGGAAACAATTTGGATTGTTTATAAAAAATAAATAAATATTCGGGTAATATGATATTGATCAAAATATCTTTGAACATGTCGTATTAAAGAAAAACATTTTCTGCATAACTGTCATAACATATACTTTTACCATTTTAAAAAATAGTATTAAGAACTTATTGAAAAAAACACGCTTAATATTTAAGTTTATTAGGTAATAAAAGGAAAATATTTAGTATTCCCTAATTTGAGGTTAAAAGGCTTAATTTTTTACACTTGGTTTCGAGTTTAACAAAAAGAAAAAATAAAACATTTTAGATGATATATATAATGATCAATTTAAAATGTATGTAATTTTGCATAAAAAATTCTCTTAGCTTTCCCTTTATTACATCTTCCTCTGTGTATTGTTGACTACTTGAGTGGATATATTTTCATATTTATTATTTACAAAAGAATAATGAATCTAATTAATTGTAAATTTAAACTTATTACGAATAAGTACCAGATGGTTGTGACGTGGCAGCACATGGTGGGCTAACTAATAACTAATGAAACAAAATTGAAGTTTTGGTTTTCATGGCAACGAAATAAAACAAAATATTAGTTTTTAAAATGGAAAAAAAAATGGTGGGGTTCTTTCACCTAATTCCGTGTCGAAAGGGAAATTAATAAAGAGGTTACGTGACACAAAGTGTTATATATGGAGGCCTCAGCCCCAAATGGAAACCCAAAATTGAGTTGAAGAAGAAGAATGAACACGTAGACGTTGAATTGAATAGAATGAACACACGTAGGTAGCAGCAAACGAAGACGAAGGAGGAGATTCCATCCATTCTTCTCAAAACCATATACACACCACACATTCCACTCCCAAATTTCTCTACCAAAATCAACATGTGATTTCCTGGAACACTACAAATCTTGGATCATTGTCGTCATGAATCGTTACAATAACATATCCCTCGTAATCCTCAGTGTGGTCGTAGGTTGTGTAATTCGCTGGTTGCTGTTCAAAACGGGATTGATATACAGCATAAGAAAACTCTTGAGATGGCTCCAGGATTGGTTCCACGTTTACCAGTTCCTCAAAGTCCCCGAATTCAACGAAAGCATGGAGCGGAATCATCTTCACCGCAAAGTTTCTCTCTATTTGCATTCCCTTCCTTCAATAGAAGATGCCGACTTCACCAATCTCGTTTCCGGTTACGACCAGAACGACATCGTTTTGCGCCTCGACCCTAACCAAATCGTTCAGGACCATTTCCTCGGGGCCACACTCTTCTGGTTCGAACAAAAAACCCGACCGGACCGGATTTCCTCCTTCGTTCTCAAAATTAGAAGAACCGATAAACGCCGAATCCTCCGCCACTACCTCCGCCATATCAATACTTTCGCCGATGAGATGGAGAACCCAAGGAAGCGCCATTTGCGGTTGTTCATGAACGCCGCTGCCGCCGATGGCGGCGGCGGCGTAACACGGTGGAAATCTGTTCCGTTCACTCATCCGGCGACTTTTGAAACTATGGCGATGGAAAAGGATCTTAAGAACAAAATCAAATCCGATATCGAATCGTTTCTCAAAGCGAAGCAATACTACCGTAAACTCGGCCGCGCGTGGAAGCGGAGTTTCCTACTGTATGGTGCCTCCGGCACCGGAAAATCGACCTTTATCGCTGCAATGGCGAATTTCCTCCGCTATGATGTGTACGACGTGGACCTGTCGAAGATTCGCTGTGATTCGGATCTTCAGTTTCTCCTAATGGAAACTACGGCGAAGTCGATCGTCGTGGTGGAGGATCTCGACCGGTTTCTCTCACCGGAAATGGAATCTGCGGTTACCGCGTGGGGGATACAGAGCTTCATGGACGGGATTCTGAGCGCCTGCTGCGGCGAGGAGAGGGTAATGGTTTTCACGATGACCAGCAAGGAGTGCGTGGACCCGAATTTGTTACGGCCGGGTCGGGTCGACGTGCACATCCACTTTCCGGTTTGTGATTTCTCGGCATTCAAGACGCTTGCGAGCAGCTACCTCGGCGTGAGGGAGCACAAGCTGTTTGCGCAGGTGGAGGAGATTTTCCGGCACGGCGTGAGTCTCAGCCCCGCCGAGATCAGCGAGTTGATGATCGCGAACCGGAACTCGCCGAGTCGGGCCATAAAATCGGTTATCGGGGCGCTCCAATCGGACTGTGATGGGAGAAAGTACGCGGAGATGATCGGACGGCAGATAGGGATGGATGACGTGGACGAAGCGTCCTTTGGTGGGGACGAGTTATCTACGGTTAAGGATTCGAGGAAGTTGTACGGTTTCTTCAAAAAACGGAATTCCAGAAGAACCCTGAAAGTCCATGATACATCATGACCAAAGATTAAAAGAAAAACAAAAAACAAAAAAATCTTCGATTATTTTTTCAATTTGGGGCAATGTGTTTTTTTATGAAAAATACAAATGCATTTATTAGTAGGATACTCCAATGATATATGATTTGCAATGAGATATTTTTAGTGAAATGTAAATTTTTAAATGATAGAACTAGAAACTTAGTGAATGCAAAAGAAAACTCATATCCGTTTGTAAAATTTCTTTTATAATTTTAATCAATGGAGGAGTCAATTGTATAGATTTCACCTTAGAAGAAAAAAAATGTTTATATGATTTTCATTTATTTTTTTATTATTTATTGTATTGTCCAAGTTACATACCTTTTCCAATAGATATTAAATATCAAAAATATCTTATTCAAAGATGTTTATTATCTTACCATCTCACTGACTTGATAATATCAATACTTATATTCGATTTGAAAAACTGAAGATAAATCGGATAAAAATAAACCTAAGGGGAAAAAATATCAATATTAATATGGTAACAATATTTATATATAGTTATCTATATTTTAAAAGAAAAAACAATTCGATATATCATTTTTATTAATTCCAACAACCGAGAATTCTTTTTATCAAAAATTACGATTTTTCACTTTTTGATAAGTTTAAATTTCTTACAAATAAGGAAAATTGGAGTGTAAATGAGATTAGAGTATAATAGACATGAAAAAAAATTATTGAATATGTCTGTTTAATTTATAGTAGATACAAAATATATTATAATAGTTAATTATTGGCTTACATGTTTATTATAAAATGATTGTTATAGTTTATAAAATATTTCATGTAACGGCAAAAGAGATTCTCTGTACATAAAAATTATAACAATAATGTATAGTCGGATAAATTGTAGGTGTCAATGTCTATACAGAGAGAGGGGATGGATTGTTACTGTTTAAAAGATTCTAAATTTATTAAACCATGAACTTGTATTTTTTTATTAAAAAATATTGTTATGAAAATGATGCACAATGAGACATTTTTGCAGTCATACACCAAAGTCCACCCATCATTGCTGACATAACTTTAACAATTAAACCACTAGATTAGTTGTTTGATGGAAAAATAATTTCTTTGGAGAAGTAATTTATTAGAAATGGAAACCTAAGTGTGACTCTCCTTCTGTTTCTATTTCTTATTTTTATTTTTAATTTAAGAAACTCATTTTATTTTAATTGGTTTTTGTGAAATAAAATTGTATAGAAAACAGTGAAAATATTTATTGAATTGAAGGGGATTAGTTAAGTGAGTGTAGGAAGCGTTGGATATTAATTGCAGTGTCTTTCAGGATGCATATAGAGGAAGATGATTCATTAAAACTTGCATCATTTTGTCTATGAAAGTGGAAACACAAAGGGTTAAGCAACGAATACAAGTTTGACCAATCTTTCGTATAAATATTTTTAAATCTCTCACGTTTTTTAACCATTCTTTTTTCGTCCTTATCTTTAACTATGATTAGGTTAATATTAATAATATTTAATTAAATTTATATTATTACTTAATAAATTATATATCCAAAAAAGGAAATTGTTTTAATTTTAAATATTTTATTCTAATTATACTTATTAATATTTTCCAATTTTAAGATTAAACTAACTATACTTAATAATAAAGACAAAAAAAAAGAAAATTAAAACTTAAAAAATTATTTTTATAAAGACGCAAAATAAAAACATATTCAAACTTAAATTAAATATATTAAAAGTGATAATTATTTAAAAAATTATACTGCTACCAAAGAGTTTGATGTATTCAATTTTAAAATATCACAATTTCATATGGATGGTTTCTTGGTAGTAATTTATTCTACATCCTCATAATATATATAAAATGTCAAATGTTCTATATCTCCATATCAGTAACTACACTTTTATTTGCTATAACTGTGTTTATTTTTAAACATTATTTTTATTTTGAAATTAGAAATTTGTTGATAATTTATACTTTAACCAATTTATCAGTAGTACTCACGATTCTTGAATCTATAATACATCTATATAATATACAATTTGAAAATGAGTTAGGATAATATAATCCGAAACTAATTTTGAGATTGTGTTTCCTGGAAATGAATATTGTATTCAATAATTTGAAATTCATTTTCAAATTTTATTTTTCTGAATTATGGATGCTTAAATCTCAAATATATTTTTATAAAATATAATTCAAAGTTCATTTTGAATTATGTTTTCTGAAATTAATTTTGTAGAAATTTTTTGAATTAACTTTTCTAAAAAAATTTTAAATCATTTGAGAATCAGTTTGCTAGAATGTATTTCCAAAAAGATGATTATTGAACGTCTCCGAAAACCTTTTGCACAGGTCAATTCATAAATTTTCTATCTGCATAATGGCTCTTTCTTGTTGTATCTGCCTAATTTTTTGTTTAAGCCAATACTTAAATTAAATTTTATTTTATTCTTATATTTATCTTATTTTTTATTTTTAAAATATATTTTTATTAACCTTTTTAGAAACATATTTTGAAATATCTATTTAAAAGTGTGTTTTTGAAAATATATTTTAGATTTAAAATGTATTTTATAATGAATATTCTAAAATATATTTTTAGAAAAATGTATTTCGAATTAGAATTCAATTTTCGTAACTGTTTTAATTAAGAAATTTTGGGTAAGTTTATATAATTTGAACACAATAATATATAATTATTCATAATATTAATAATTATTCACTTTTAATTATTAGTAAATATTTTTAATGAAAATGATAAAAAAAAATAACTAAGCCATGAAGATGCTGACGAATGAAAGTGCAAAAATTATATAAAATAAAAGAAAAAATTAGACTAAAAAATAAAATTATAAAAAAGATATTTAAAATATTCCACATGAATAGGAAGGTACATGAACAAATTATGGGATACAGGACACATGACCCAAACAAAATATGGAGTGTATTCATTCGACAGTAATGGCCCATTAAATTCTAAAAATAAAAGAATGGCCCATGAGCAAGTTTATTAGGTTTTGTTCTTTCAATGATTATGGACATACATTTTATATTTAAAAAATAATTTTAAAGTTTCGACTTATTTTTTTAATTTTTCATTGACAGAAAATTAGACTACATACTTAAAAAAAAAAAAAAAATCCTCTCATTATGCCCAAAAATTATCAAAATCCCATTATACGACTTGACTATTTTTTTTATTTACATTTTGAGTGCTTATATAAAAGAAATAATATGAAGTCAGTGGAAAAATAAAAATAAAAATATAGAAATTACCTTAGCTATATTTAAAAAAATCCCTCTATCTCACCCTCTATTTTCCTCCTCCATCACCCTTTTCTTTACCAACCCATCAACTGCACTTTCACCTTTTCCCCCATCACACCTCATTCACTTCCAACCCTTCCTCTTCCCCCCCTCCCCAACCTACTTCCACAATCCTTACCAACCTCTTTTTCAACTACTACAAATTATCACATCAAAAACACTCTTAGAAACTAGAATTCATCACAAACTAAATTAGAGAAATCAAATGGTCATTTAAGCTATTAGAGGGCAAAACTTAAACACAATTTGCACTTTAGGTGAATGTTCTAATTAAATACCAGACGTATGTTTATAATTGAGACAATGTTCCAAATGTCTATCAGTACAATTTTTTAGTAAATGTGACATAACTGATAATTCATGACCATGATGCAACAGGACAACCTTTACTCTTCTCAACAATGAGCATGGAAGCCAATAGCAAATGAATCTATTTAGCCTTCCTCACTCACCATTAAGCATATATGTATATACTTTTCACTCTGCTGTTTTTTCCAAACTTGAAATCAAATACACTACCTTAAATCTCAATACCAATGTTAACAAGAGCAAGATGACAATTTCTTCATCTCACTAATCTCCAATTCAGGACCTGAGAGTATATCAACCTTAGTTCCTGTGAGTGAGGCAAGATTGTTGTCACCATTCACCTTCCCACAACCACATTCCAACGCCTTTTTAGACACTACACTGTTGATTTCTTCTAGCAACTTGAGGAATGCACTCTCCACATTGTCACCACTGAGAGCTGAAGTTTCAGAGAAGAAGAGACCCTGGTCCTCAGCAAACTCCACTGCATCTTCAGTTGGCACCATTCTCTGGTCCACAAGGTCAGCTTTGTTACCAACCAACATGATCACAATGGAGCTATCTGCGTGTGCACGCAGTTCCTCAACCCACCTAGCAACATGGTCAAATGATTGCCTTTTTGTAATGTCGTACACCAGCATTGCCCCTAATGCACCTCTGTAGTATGCACTCGTTACAGCCCTGTACCTATATCACCATCAAAATTTACAAGCATATAGTATGTTAAATATGTAACAATTTATCTGCACTAAAATGACCATGTCTTATAAGTATATTTGACTGATATGATGTTGAGTAAATGATGCATGAGTCTAATACCTATTCTAGTTTATTTGTGATTTGCTCATGATCTATTACAGAACAATTTTAAGACGTTTATCCTCCTTCATCGAATTCCATAAAATTTTCCTTAATCATTAAAACACACAGTTTGCAATTTTGAATTCATAGGATTCTAGTGAACATTATCAGAGCTGGGCATGGTATGTAGAACATGACAATGTGAATGACCTTAATGTTAAGAAGCATTATATTTTACCAAAAATGTTAGCTGTCTCATTAGGACCCCCTTATGTAGAACATTAATGTGAGTTTTGGAACCTAATCAAGGAAAATGAATTATCTATGAAACAAAAGTCAAGATCATGTGCTTCTTGGCCATGTATGTTTCCTAAGTCAAATTGACATCACGTTGAATAATCAATAATATAATCACCTTTGAATAAGTACCATCATTGAAACTCAATGTCTGTCCAGCCATGAGTTCAAAGCAAAATGAACATAAAAGTAGACAAAGAATCAAACATAAAATATGAATGACACAGACACACATATACATTTATATATATATATATATATATATATATATATATATATATATATGAGAGAGAGAGAGAGAGAGAGAGAGAGAGAGAGAGAATGTGATGAACCTTTCTTGGCCAGCAGTATCCCAGATCTGGGCTTTGATGAGTTTGGCATTAATAGTGACAGTCCTAGTCTGGAATTCAACCCCAATGGTGGACTTTGAGTCAAGGCAGAACTCATTCTTTGCAAACCTTGAGAGTATTTGAGTCTTGCCAACCGCTGAGTCTCCTATCACCACCACCTTAAACACATAGTCTATTTTCTCCTGCACATCATAACCCATTTTCGCATCTCCATTCTCTTGCTGCTTCTGACCCTCAACCCCATTCATTTCCTGGTTCATCTTCTTCCCAATACAAGCAAGAGCCTCAAAAAAGATAGGTCAGTGTGATCCTTTTTTTTTTTTTTTTTTTTTTCAGATGCCAAAACTAGGCTCTAAAACCTTGGTCTTTTCTTCCCCAGCAAAATGAAACACCACTTGACTAAGTATAAACTATTGGTCTTAGGGGTGAGTAGAAGCAAGAAAAATAACAGGGAACTGGTTGAAAAGTGATGAACCGGACAAAATCAATGTAGAATCACTGAGGGCAAAAAGTATAGGCAAGAAAATGGGGTCCAGTTCCGTGTCTCACTTTTTAATATTATGTGGCACTATTATTGGACTTTATTGCCGTCATGCCTTCTGCTGATGATAAATTATGAGATGCAATTTAGCATATGATATTAGCTGAAAAGGGAAACATAGATCTAAATTAATCAAATATTAACTAAAAAGTTATGGTGACTTGCCTCAGGTTAAGGAAACCTGGAATCATGAGTTTTTGAATGGTTGTAGTTTCTACTATTTCAGATTACTTTGGTCTTAATTTAAGGCGCAATCCAAGGATATGTGACTCTTCTTTCCACGATTTCTTCCCTTTTTCATTTTCTCCTTTGCTTTCTTCTAATATGATTGATTTGGGTCTCTTACAAACGGCCCTTTAATATTTTTCTGATTCAATGGTTTCTTAAAATAGCTTGTTATTGTTTGAATCTGAAGAAGAATAAGATGGTTGCCTTGAACACTGGGAAAATTGCTTAGCTCGTTTTTCCGCTTGAAACGCATAAAACAAATGTTCAAACAGAAGCAAGAACTTCTTGCGTCTCACAAAAACGGTGTTTGGTTAATTGTTTGGAACTTATACACATAAAGTTAAACGGAAGAACAAACATATTACTTTAATTGTTTGGTGGTTGATCGTTCTGATCATTTTCCTGATGAATCTCAAAAAATCAAGCTGAAATTTAATAGGGCCTAACTTTTTTTATATTCCTAATTATTAAGTTAAATTACATAAAATGGGAACAAGAGAAACAAAAGATGTATCCTTTATCATTAGAAAAAAGAAAAAAAGTTCCTTAATAACATTACACCTCTTAACTCTTCTTCCACTCTTTGTCCCATGAGGATCAAGATCCTCTATATTTGTGAAACACTGAATGGAGAACTGCATCAATCAAGTCGTTTCATTTGATTTATTTGATGTTATGTGACACATTTAAACATAGCGGAACATGTTAATTATGATTATTATTATTACGAGTGTAAAAAATCATGCCCTACCTTTGTTTCAGCCACAACGAAAGATTCTGAATTATTTTTGCCCCCCTTTTTCCTTTTGCTTCTGGCAGTGGTAATGCTCTATAAACACAAAAACATCCACTGTGGTTGCGTCCGTAGAAAATAGCAATGATTGTATAATTTCTTCCACCGACACAACTGATGCAACAGTAACACTAATAATAACATCACTGAGTTGAACATGATGAAAGAATTCTTAGTGTTGAACTGTTAATGTGTTATATGTGCAATGAATGTACAATGACAGTGATTTACCTACGGCTACATGCGTGCTGTGAGAAACAATTCATGAATAGGAGAAAAATAATAAGGAAAGCATAAAGGGATGTTGTTAACAATTCCTTCGACACATTTAACTTGTTTGATTGGACCTGGAAATTGAAGACTCGTTGAATTTATGTACGGCACGTACCATTTTGTTGGGAGTGGTAGGTATTGATGGTTAGTTGGAGAAATGTTACATATGTATATGTAATATATAAAGTTCTGTTTTCCAAATTGTATGTTTTCCAAAGTGTAATATCTATGAATCGGTGCTGTAAGGTAACGATAATAGAGCCCAGTTTTGAAAGAGAACAAGAAGAAAAATTGAACTGTTCTATGGTTTTTGCATTCTCTCATCAATTTTGTTTGAAAACTATTAACTATATCAACTAGAAAATAATCTAAAAACTGTCCTTAAAGGTGTAGAAAAGATAGAAAAAGGACATGTCATTTGATGAAGTATGTTGTAGTAGTTACTTGGGTTCTCAGGTTTTACCAACCGTAACAAACAGACTTTAGTGGATCATAACCAATCCACAACCATATGATCATGAACAAAGAACTAGAAAATCCCACTAGGGTTCTTCTGGCACTATAGAGCTTGCTTTTTTCTTCATGTTTCCTACTTCTTCAAGCATCACATAGAGCTGGTATTACCTCTACATATTTGTGATTACCTTTGTTTCGATCTTATCATGATAATTAATGTTGTTTCATGCATCATAAGTAATGCAACTTGGAAGGAACTTCTGTTAGAGGTATAATATGTTTGGATTAATTTCCTAATATAAAATTTCGAGCTGAATGTGAAAACTAAATTTAATATGCTTATAAAATTTTGGATATTGAATAATACTCCAAGCACACTTTTTCCTATTGCGTGTTCTTCTAATGTATAACTTGAATTGATATGCGACATGCAACAACTCTTATGCTTGATATATATTTTCAGATTGTCTTCATTTCTTGTGCAACGTGGCAGAAAAAAAAGCATTACATTACAACCACAGAGACACTCATGTTATATACATCTTAATTCACTCTAATTCAATCTTATTACCCCCCTCTTGTATGTAAAAGATGATAGAAAGAAGATTTTTCAACTGAAAGCATCAAACTGCATACATTGAGAAGAACTTGATTTAGTACAGTCTGCGCATCAAATTTGGAAAAAATTAAGAACATTATTACAAAGAACATGCCAGCAGAGATGCGATACCAACTCACATCAATGAAATTCTGGGGCTACGAGAGTTTCTTAACAATGTTCAAGCTACAATAAAAGGTCAAATACTATAAAGACACACATATATATCATCGTACAGATAAAGTAAACAAAGTTAGGGTAGAAAGAAAGACCAAGTGAAAGTTTTTGTGCTATATTATCTCATAGAAAGGTCGTCTTATATTATATATCACGTACACTTTGTGTTAATTGCTTTTGGTATATATATATAGCATAGCCAGTTAAACCAGATTTGTGAAACTTATTTCTTGCAACAAACAGCAACTAGAGTGGGACAATCGCATTGATGTTTGGCCAGAAATATGGTCATGATTCATGAATGATAGCAGTGGATGCACTGTCAAAGATAGTGACACTAGATATGCATCTCCCTCACCAACCATTTTAAAGTCTTCATCTTTTTTTTCATACATTTTTCTTCATGTGTTCTGGGCTTTTATGTACTCTTTGTTTACTCGAATGGGAGAAAAAAAAAAAAAAAGTCTTGGACCCTAAAGCGTTTTGGATTGGATACGTTTTCCTTTTAGCATAGAAAAAAGTCATTCCATGGATCATTTCAGTTCTGAGGGGGAAATTCAAAATAACTAATTTAATTTGATGTAATTTCGAAAAATATTATACAAATCTGAATAAAATAATATCACAAGTCAGTCTCACAAATGACTTAATTTGGAGATAATTTGGGCTAAGTTGTTATATATTTTGATAAAAGAAAAATACTTCATTTTAAAGAAATAAAGATTAAATTTTCACTTCATGATAACAAACAAAGGATAATCGTTATATTATTCATTAGGTCTAGTAAAATTTTATTCTATTTACAACTCTATCAGGTACTTATAATAGTATAACATTTTACCACAATTATAAATTATTCATTATAATTATGATAAAATGTTATATTTAATTATTAATAATTTAATAAAAAATACTAAAATTTAATTCAAAAATAAAGAGTAAAGATAGGGTTTGACAAAAACAGATTCCGTAAGGACTAAGTTTAAAAGTAAAAAATTTAATTGAAACTTACTAGTTAAGTTAAAAAAGCTATTCAAATTTCTTTCATTTATATAAAATACAACATTTATATTAGTTATACAATAATATTAATCATAGTAAAACAATAATTATAATTATTGATATAATTGTTATTTTAATAATGATAAAAATAAAGTTGTGCTTTTAAGGTTGACTTCTTTTTTATTTTATAAAGTAAATCCCATCGTCTGAAAGATGAAATATTTTTTAAAATATGATTTATCTACTTTTTTAAAAATTATCATTTTAATAAATTTAAAAAGACTACATTACTTTCATAAAAAGCCCACTTTCAGAAGTATATGGTTTTGGTGGTATTTTTCATAATCACTTTGAGTTTTTCTTTTATCTTTTTCTTTTCTTGTGTTCGAACTTTCCAACAAACTTTACACGCTGCTTTCAAGGACATGGTTGATTTTACTCAATTTTGTCTATTATGGTTTTGGGTTTTAATATATATTTTAGTCCTATATACATATCTATTTTGGTGTATTTGTTATCGATCTTGACTAGTAATAGTAGTGTTTCTTACTTGTATAATTTTTTTATACCTCTATTTTTATTTACTACATAGCAAATAACACATTAAATTAAAATGTTCAAACCTAAAATTATACCTTTTAAAAATTTATGTCCATGTCAAAAGCTTTTGACCAATAGTTTTAACATGTGAGAATGAAAATGCCAATCCCAACAATACAATCACGACATTCAAGGAAAACCCTAACTTTAGGAAATAAAAGTCATTATTCATATTATATAATGGACATGAAATATGACAGTAATGATGAAGTTTTTGTTCTGAAATCCATTTTTTTTTTCATCATTCTACAGAAAATAATCTTGTAAGAAATTGATAAAAAAACTACCAAGAATAAAAATCTCCATCATATTTATCTGAGCTACATACCAGGATTTTTTTTTATAATCGTTTGATTTGAGCATTGATTTTTTAGATAATTGTACGACACGGATAATGTTTCGAAGACTCATCCATCATGGTCAATTTTCTTTTCTTCGAAAACCCTGTCACACGGACCTGTAATTATTATATTTGTTTTGTATTTATGCATTCATGAAATAATCTAATATAATAACAATAATGGTAAACCTTTACTTTGTAGGTGGTCAAACAAAGCCAGGCAAGCTTGGAATGGGATGGAAAAGTCTTGTAGACTTATTATACAAGGGAGAGAGGTCTTGTTGAGATAGAAGAGAAACACATGGATGGACACCATACACGTACAATACAACACAACCTCTTTCAACTTGTAATCTCAGCTTGTGTGATAGGATCTAGTTTCTCAGGGAAGTTTAGTCGCTTTTGCTGAAACGGGGTTCTCAACTTTCATGGCTCTCTCAGGTATTTGTTGACTTTGACTCTTCCCTTGTTGCTTGTTCAAGAAATCAGAGCATACATGTCAATGGGGTCACGCCACTTTTTTAGCTTTCTTGACCTCTCATTTACCTTGAGCTTTTGGTGTAAGATAGTTAGTTCACTTGCAGGTAGTTAGTAACTCCTTACTATTTTGTGATTGGTATTGTTGCCTCACCAAAAAGGGTAGGTTGGAAGGGGATACAATTCCATAGAAGGAGAACTAGCTTTTTTGGGAGATGAATTTGTCTTTTTTCTGTTTTTTTTGCTTGGGAACCGAGAAAGTGTTAATAGAGAAAGATTACTGAGAATGGCATTATTTGGCATCGCAGAAGTACATGGAAGAGAAGAGGTGTCAATTAGTCAAGTCAACTGTGCCCCTCTTGGACTCAGTTCTTGGAAATTTATAGTGGCATGTCTATTTCAGAATACTGCAGCCTGATAAAGAACATCTTATTCTATGTATGAATGTAGTCAAAGCAATTTTAGCTTCTCGATTCATCTCAATTTTCTCCTTTTTCCTTCCTTACAACAAGTTGGACAAGATGCCAGGTCCAGAATCTGTTGCTTGTGGTGAAGAAAATAAAATGAGAAATGTGTCAATATATGTTCAAAGTTTGGTGTGATTTCTTCATTCGCAATATACCATCACAAACCAAATAGAGATATTCATTAGTCTCTGAAAACTATAGCATCCGTTATGATTGTTATAGTGGTATCTGAATAAGCTTTTTATTTGTTATATTAGTAATGGTATTCCTTTGGTCAATTTAGTTTATAAGGTTCTTGAAGTAGGGAGTAATTTAACTGAAAATGTACATTCAAGAACCTTGAATATATTTCCCTTGTTCAAGAAATAATTTGACCAGCACTATCTTTCTGTGACATATGTGATTGTTTACTAATAACTTATTATTAGTGCAATGTATAAAACAATTGATAAATGAATCTGATCAGCTCCTTTTTTTTTTCAATTTATTGATATTATATTTAGGAATTTAGAATTGAATTGGAATGAGTATGGAGGCGTATCCATCAGAAGTTTTGGGAAATTTCTGCTTCTCTTCTGCCACCATTAGTGATCGTGTTATGGCTTCATGGGAAGGAAAAGGGTCGTATTTCCTTGCCTAAGTTGTGTTGCATGATGATGGTGTTAGATCTGTTATCTTCTGGTCCTACTGGAACTGCCATTTCTCAAACTATAGAGACCATTTCTGAGTTCCTAGTTACTGCTAATGATGTTCTTGTGAAGAAGGATAGTTTTAAAGAACTTGGAGCTTACATGGAAAGAATTAAGCCTGTCTTAGAAGAGTTGAGGAAAGGAAAAGTCAGTGATTCTGAGACACTAAACCGAGCCATTGAGACGATGAATAAAGAAATTAAAGATGCAAAGCTACTAGCTCTAGAGTGCAGCAAGAAGAGCAGGTTTTATCTACTAATGAACTGCAGGTCCATTGTTAACAAGTTAGAAAATCACACAAAACATCTGAGTTCTGCACTTGGTCTTCTTCCTTTAGCCACAACAGATCTTTCTTCAGGAATAGTTGAAGAAATTGAAAAGCTATGTGAAAACATGCAGACATGTAGATTTAAGGCGGCTCTAGATGAAGAAGAGATCTTGGAGAAAATTGACTCAGGGATTAGGGAAAACAATGTTGATCGTTCCTATGCAAATAAGTTGATTTTTCTCATTTCTGAGGCTGTTGGGATTAGTAATGAGAGGTCAGCAATAAAGTTGGAACTTGAGGAGTTCAAGAGTGAAATTGAAAAAGCGCGAGATAGGAAGGAGTTAGCTGAAGCTATGCAAATGGATCAAATCATTGCTTTGTTGGAAAGGGCTGATGCAGCTTCATCACCTAGGGACAAGGAAAACAAATACTTTGCGAAACGCCAATCTTTGGGCAGTCAAATCTTGGAGCCTTTGCAGTCATTTTTTTGCCCCATCACCCAGGATGTTATGGTGGATCCTGTAGAAATTTCATCTGGGCAGACATTTGAGAGAAGTGCCATAGAAAAGTGGTTTGCAGATGGAAACAAATCGTGCCCCTTGACATGGATTCCTCTAGACACATCAATTTTGAGACCTAACAAAAAGTTGAAACAATCCATACAAGAGTGGCATGATAGAAATATAATGATTAGAATTGCTACATTGAAAGAAAAAATCCTGTCTGGAAATGATGAGGAAGTGCTGCGTGATCTGCAAATTCTTCAGAATTTGTGTGAAGAAAAAGACCAACACAGGGAATGGGTTATTCTGGAGAATTATATCCCAACTCTCATCCAAATTCTATCAAAAAAACGTGATATAACGAAACATTCTCTTGTCATCCTTGGCATGCTGGCAAAAGATAATGAAGAAGCTAAGGTATATTGATTGATACTCTCCTTTTATTTTATTTTAACAACTTGCATAGCAAATTTGCTACATTCAGTATCTGGCTTTCTAAGGACATATATTGATCAATGACAGCCATTGTTTTAGATGAAATAATTTTATTATAGACATTTTGGTTAAAAATTATTCTAGCTTCAATAACATGAACCTAACAACTCTGACTTTCCCTGTAAGGTAGATTCTAGAAACCAAACATGGCCAAAAGAGAATGTGGATAAAAATGCAGAGTTAATGTGAATATGTGATTCAGTCTATATGATAATCGAGGAGCAATTTGTTAGAATCTTTCTCATCCATTCTGTACTACTTTTAAACATTAGAAAACACTAGCATAATAATGAGTTTGTGAATCAAAAGTCATTTTCAACTCAATGCTATCTAGAATATTGATCATGTTGTTTTGTACTCCTTAGTCCTGTATCTTCCTTTAACTACCTTTCGTCCTTGTATTCTTCTCAACTTAATTTTATGTCTGAAAGATTGATGGTTTAATCTCCTTTTTAAATGTTGCTTTACATCATATTGAACTACATTCGATTTCATAATGGACATTCAGCTATGCTATTGAAATTTGTTTTCCGCAGAGAAAAATTTCAACCACTGATCGTGCAATTGAATCGATTGTCAAGTCTCTTGGACGTCGTGCAGAGGAAAGGAAGTTAGCAGTGTCTTTACTACTTGAATTATCCAAATATGATATGGCACGAGAACACATTGGAAAAGTTCAAGGTTGCATACTACTGTTGGTGACTATGTCTAGTGGAGATGACAACCAAGCTGCTAGAGATGCAACGGAGCTATTGGAGAAGCTTTCATACTCTGATCAGAATGTTATACAGATGGCAAAAGCAAATTATTTCAAGCATTTATTGCAGCGTCTCTCCGCAGGTTTATTCTTTAACCCACAATGGAGTTAGTGTATTAGTATTCAATTGCAAATTCTTTTTCCCCTCTTCTTTTTCTTTTAAAAGATATGCATATAATATAAAAGATTGGAATCACTGCATTTTTTTATGTGAGATCAAGCCTTTACCATAATCTGTTTCTCCCTTTCCCTGTGCAGGACCAGAAGATATAAAGATGATCATGGCGACAACTTTAGCAGAAATGGAGTTAACTGACCATAATAGAGAGTCCTTGTTTGACGGTGGTGTACTGGTTCCTCTTCTTCACATGTTCTCACATAATGATCTTCGGGTGAAAACAGTTGCTATTAAAGCTCTTAGGAATTTATCCAATTCAAAGAAAAATGGACAGGAAATGATAAGACAGGGGGCCGCACGACCACTACTTAACCTCCTTTTCAATCAAAGCATATACACTGCATGTTTGTGGGAAGATATAGCAACCATAATCGTGCAACTTGCTGCATCAACTATCTCTCAGGACGCTCAAACACCTGTTTTATTACTAGATTCTGATGATGATGTTTGCAATCTCTTCAGTTTAGTTAGTGTCTCAGAGCCTGTTGTGCAACAGAACATTATACAGACCTTTTATGCCTTGTGTCAAACACCCTCGGCTTCATATATCAGAACCAAATTGAAAGAGGTATGAATCTTACGGAAGCTAAGTGAACTTACAGCAGCTAGAAATGCTTTTCTGCTACATCACTACACCGGTTCCAAATAAGCAAATCACTCTACATTGTCAATTCCAACACATAGAAAAGAGCTAGGCCGCACCTTTTAAGTTCTAAAAGGTCCATTTTACCGTATAAGTGTCTATCCTCTCAATCTTGTTTAAGACAGAATCTGCAAATATAGCAAAGAAAAAAAAAACTTGATACAATCAGTAGACCAAGTCTTCCCTAACACATCATGCATCTAGGTGTAATTTTCTATTAACTAAGACAACAATGGGTAGATTCTGGCTGTATGAATATAGCATGCATAATCGAGCAAGAATCTAGGAAACAATTGCTTTCAGAATTGTTTTCTAACCACTCTATTTAGAAATTCGTTACATTTGGCTTAGATATGATATAAACAAAATTTTTCTCACATTTCGTTAGTTTCCTGAATTTCAATTCTTATAGTAATATGTCTTGACTGATGTCTGGTAATTGATGGTGTCATAACAAGCTAGTCTTCTGAAACTTACCTACTCACTACACAAATGAGCAGTAAACCAACTGAATTTGCAGTAAACCAACTGAATTTGCAGTAAAACATTCAAACCGTCCAGAAAATAAATAGTAGAATAGGTATCAATTGAGTTGTTTTTCATCCCACTTTCTTCCCATGCTTATGTCATTGTTCTTTTGGGATTTTGTGTGGTTTCAAATGAAGATGTGTTCGAACTAATTTGTTAGCATGAGCTATGACAATATAATGCATGCATCTATAGATACAGAGTAATACCTTACGCCCACATATAGTGGACTGAGGACCAAAGTTTCCAATGTTTGACTCTAAGTTCACATACAGCTGTTCTGTCATTGCTTCGCTTGTCCTTATCTAAATGTTGAGAATATTTTCCAGTATTTGTTGCATGGTAGTATATACCATAACAGAATTACTCTGTTTATTTATGAACAGTACTCAGCTGTTCCGAAACTGGTTCAACTGTGTGAGAATGAAAACCAAAACCTGCGAGCAAGTGCTGTGAAGTTGCTTTCTTGCTTGGTGGCGAGTTGTGACGAAGCCATAATACAGGAGAACGTGAATCAGAAATGCATCAATACTCTACTCCGGATCATAAAATCTTCATCCGATAAAGAGGAAATACTTTCTGCCATGGGAATTATATGCTATCTTCCAGAAATGGACCAGATAACTGAATGGCTTCTGGATGCTGGGGCACTGCCAATCATTACAAGTTATGTCCAAAATAGGAGAGACAGGGATCATCTAAGGAATAATTTAGTAGAGAATGCCATTGGTGCCCTTTGTCGTTTTACAGTTCCAAAAAACTTGGAGTGGCAAAAAAGTGCAGCTGAAACTGGGATCATAACTGATTTGGTGCAATTGCTTGAAAATGGAACCCCCTTGACAAAACAACGTGCGGCGCAGTCTCTTACTCAATTCTCTAATAGCTCGTTTAGGCTGAGCAGGCCGATACCGAGGCGCAAAGGACTATGGTGCTTCTCAGCCCCTGCTGATATTGGCTGCATGGTTCATGGAGGAATATGCTCAGTCAAATCGTCATTTTGCCTTTTGGAGGCTAATGCAGTGGGACCACTCACAAAAACTCTTGGGGACTCGGATCCTGGAGTTTGTGAGGCTTCTTTGGATGCTCTATTAACATTAATAGAAGGTGAAAGACTGCAGAGTGGTAGTAAAGTGCTTGCAGAAGCAAATGCCATACCACATATAATCAGATATCTTGGTTCCCACTCCCCTGGCTTGCTGGAGAAGTCTCTAAATGCTTTGGAAAGGATTTTTCGGCTAGTCGAATTCAAACAGATGTATGGACCCTCAGCTCAAATGCCTCTAGTTGATTTGACTCAGAGGGGTAATGGTAGGGTTAGATCCATGTCAGCTAGAATATTGGCACATTTGAACGTGCTTCATGATCAGTCTTCATATTTCTAAAGAAAAATGTTGGTTCAAGTTTGTGTACTGAGGAGCTAAGCTTAACCATGTGGAATAACCTGCTCTTGATGCATTTGTGCATGACATCAACTACATGCTTGGACTGAAATGCAACCTTTGCTTCTTTAACAGATATAACTGCTTTCCTCAGTTCAGTAGCAACATGATGTTTCCCCTACCAGGAGAGTCCCCCACAAGCTTTTTGCAAGTGTGCACATGGCTAGTTCTCATGAACTTTCCCTTTAGCCCTTGAACCATATTGGACATGCAGCACCATATTGGAAGCAGCACCATATTGGACATGCAGGCTTTATTTGAGGCCTATATTAAACGTCTCAAATAATATAGATTGTACATTTGAAGATTGATTTTTCTTATTGCTTGGTGTAAAAGGAATACAAAAAAAATCCCTTTCCGGATAATTGCATTTGAATTCATTGTTATTCTTCTTTTATAGTGAAAAGGTAGAGAAATGTTTAAAATCATCTTTGCTATGATGTTGAATTAACTATAACTGCACAATCACAATAACAATTTTGCAAGCAATAATACGTCACCACAAGAATCAAGAATTTAATTTATAGCTTGTACTCTCGGTTTTCTGTTATATTGTAGCCTCTCATTTTAATTAGACATTTTTAACAAATCTTAATTTTAACTTGTTTTACAAACAAAACTTAATTTCATTGATATATAATTAAGTTTTCTGTTATTGGTGAGTGATGTAACTTTTCCTGTGATTATAAATTTTATATATTATAATATTAGGTATTTTGTGGAGAAAAGGGAAGATTTATTAATGTATCATAAATCATTTACATGAAAAAATTATATATTATTTTTAATCTAAAATCTTAAAATTATAAATTGGTTGTTTTTCTTATTATTTATATTAGTTGTTTGACATTCCCATTCATAATTAATGGGAAGTTTAAGACTTTATATTGTTACTGATAAGGTGTGTGTATTTTAACTTAGTTAATTTTAAAAGAATTAATTTTGAAAATTTGAAGTTAAAAATATATACTTAATTTAGCAAAAAAAAAACTATATAAGTCTTAAAAGCACCATATAATTTTTTAGTATAAATATAGATATATTTTATGGAACTTTTCACTTTGTACGAGCCAACGTTTAATTTAGCAGTTATAATTAATTCCATTAGCCACAAAATAAAATTTGATCCTTCTGTTCTTTCCTCATAAAGACATGGCGAAATATTACCACACAAGCCATGGTGGTAGTAGAGAGTAATTAGATTATGAGCTTTCTAAAAGTCAAATCCTTGTGTCTTTAGTAGTGATATTATCTGAGATTCAAGTGTTGAACATTTGAGGGACTTAAAACCATAAAAAGATTTGTGATGTCATGAAGCAAGTGAAGCAAATCCATGGTTACACTCTAAGAAATGGCATAGACCAAACCAAAATCCTCATTGAGAATCTACTTGAAATCCCAAACCTTCACTATGCACAGATGGTGTTGAACCATTCCCCAAAGCCAACCCTTTTCCTCTACAACAAGCTCATTCAAGCCTACGCTTCTCATTCCCAACACCAATGCTTCTCCCTTTATTCCCAAATGCGCTTTCATGGCTTCCCACCAAACCAACACACTTTCAACTTCCTCTTCTGTGCATGCACCTCCCTCTCTTCCCCTTCCCTTGGCCAAATGCTCCATATCCATTTCATCAAATCAGGCTTTGAACGTGACCTTTTTGCTAACACTGCTTTGCTTGATATGTATGCCAAAGTGGGTAGTTTGGAAATGGCTCGCCGACTGTTTGATGAAATGCCTGTCAAAGGGGTACCCACATGGAATGCTATGATTTCTGGGTATGCCAGATTTGGTGATATGGAAGGCGCGTTAGAGTTGTTTAGATTGATGCCTTCCAGGAATGTGGTGTCATGGACCACGATGATATCTGGTTACTCGCGAAACAAACGGTTTGGGGAGGCTTTGGGTTTGTTCCTGAAGATGGAGCAGGAGAAAGGCATAGTGCCCAATGAAGTAACCTTGGCAAGCATTTTGCCAGCTTGTGCAAATCTTGGAGCACTGGAGATTGGGAAGAGGGTGGAAGCATACGCAAGGAAGAATGGGTTCTGTAAGAACTTATATGTAAGCAATGCTGTGTTGGAGATGTACGCAAAATGTGGTAAGATTGATATTGCATGGCAGGTGTTCAATGACATTGGCAGGTTCAGAAACTTGTGCTCTTGGAATTCAATGATCATGGGTTTGGCTGTCCATGGGCAATGTTGCAAGGCCCTTGAACTTTATGATCAAATGCTGGTAAGCGGCTTGGCTGGCTTTTTTTCTTTATTTCCTTCACGGATGTCATAATAAACATTGTGTTTGGAACTGCGTCCGTACCTCACGTTAACATGCAATGACGTGGAAGCTACAACTGTTAATGTTGCATGTAATTCAATTGTTAAAAGCAAGTTAGTAAACCAGCATAAATTTGTTTATCTAATGCCAAAAATACTTGAAGTTGTTTCAGTTCAAAATCAACTATGGACTCAATCAAATTTTTAGCATGGACTCAATCAAATTTTTAGCATGGAACCAAACATGTAGACATTTACTTAAAATCACATGAATTCGTATTTCAATGTGATACTGAATTATTAAATGTGAATCAAAGTACGCACACGGTTCCAAACACCCATGCAGTGATTTTTGAACCTTGAGATGTTGTAAAAGATACTAACTATGTGTCTGTGTCACTGATGGTGCCAGGGGGAAGGAACATCACCTGATGATGTGACATTTGTGGGGCTCCTCTTGGCATGCACTCATGGAGGCATGGTTGAAAAAGGAAGGCATATCTTCAATTCAATGACAGCAGCCTTCCACGTTATTCCCAAATTAGAACACTATGGATGCATGGTTGATCTCCTAGGCCGTGCCGGGCAATTGAGAGAAGCTTACGAGGTAATACAAAGTATGCCCATGAAACCCGACTCAGTGATATGGGGGGCTTTATTGGGAGCTTGTAGCTTCCATGGTAATGTTGAGCTGGCTGAGATTGCAGCTGAGTCTCTATTTGTGCTTGAGCCTTGGAATCCTGGGAACTATGTTATTCTTTCCAACATTTATGCATCAGCTGGCCAATGGGCTGGAGTTGCAAAGCTCAGGAAAACGATGAAGGGAAGCCAAATTACAAAATCAGCAGGACATAGTTTCATTGAAGAGGGAGGGCAACTTCATAAGTTCATTGTGGAAGATAGATCGCATCCTAAAAGCAACGAAATTCTTGCCTTGCTTGATGGAGTTTATGAAATGATAAAGCTTAATAGAGGTGCATTTGATTGTTATTTGGATCTTGATCTGAGCAACTAATCATAGGGAGTACCACAAAATGCAACCCTGAAATTTTTCTCCATTCCCATTTTGGCCAAGCAAACGTGTTGGCATATAAGTAATTTCTCACAAAAGCCAATGGGTAAAAAAGAAGCGTTTACTATCAAATTAGTTTTTAAAATTATAACAATTAGTCCTTTTAGTATCATGAAAAAGAAATTTCAGTCATTGAACATAGCACTCAGTAATCATTTTAGTCCCGTTAAGCAGAGGTAGAGGGAGAGAGAGAGGGAGAAATAAGAAGTGGAGGGGCTAATCTAATATTTATTTTTAAAAAGTAAAAAACTTTTAAATATATATATATATATATATATATATAATTTTAATAAAGAAAGAAAAAATTTGGGCTGATAATGGGATTATTGAGGATGACAAAATAGATAAGTTTCTAGTAAGTAAAAAATTAGTGAAAGCAGGTATGTTATAATCAAGATAGGTTACAGATCCTGATTCATCCTATCAAAATGCGGGTTAATAGGTCAGTCATCCTATCAAAATGCCGGTTGGTAGGTAAGTGACGAGTCTATTAATAATATATTTTTTATATACATTTATATATATATATATATATATATATATATATATATATATATATATATCTTTAATTATATTAATAATTTTTAAGTTTTTATTTATTATTTAATATTTTTATTAAAAAAAATTTTAAAAATTATTATATTTATATATCAAAATAACTAATTATAATTAATAATTTAAATTTAATTAATTAATTTTTATAATTTAAATTATAATATTGTAATATATTTATATATTTTAATAATATAACATAAAAAATATAATATTTTTAATTATAATTTTTTTATTCTAATTTAAATATATAAATATTATTTTTAAAATAGATCAGTGCATCTCTCCCTATTTATAGGAGTTGATAGATTAAACAAAATAAACCAAAATAAACTAACGACCACCTCAGTCTTATCACTATTTAGGCCGGTGGACCTATTTTATTATCCTTTTAAGTTATTATATCTCACCGGTTGCTCCGCCACTGCCGATGAGATCCATTAATTTAATCGTTGACTTGGAATGCTACCAGTAATTGTGTGACCATCACTCATGTATCATTCTAACGATATAAAAAAAAAAACATTTTTCTGAAAACTCCACTTGTAGGTATTATGCTAAAAAAACTAAAACGCTTTTTTTCTTATATTGCTTGAAGTGTTGAACACCAAAACATGTATAGTATAGAACTTCCTTTTTTATTTTTTATCCTTTGACTCAGCATTTAGATTTTTCTAAGGTTAAAGAGCAATTGAACAAAATGTCTATTAACTATATTTACTGCAATGACCATAAGTAGTGGCAAATTTCTTGCCAGAAATTAATGAACTGTAATATCCCTTAAGTTAAAGGAAAAAAAATGTATCAAAGAATTTGGATTGACACTTCATTTATCATTGTATGTTCATCTGGTCTTATTGATGTCTATATTAGCCATGTACCAAGACTTCATGCTTGTTTCTCCTTTGTCAACCTCCTTTGACTCCTCACCGCTAACTTCAGAATCTCATCAATGAGAATAACAGGTGCTGATATTAAAAGGACCATAAACCACTCATTCAAACTAAGTGGAATAACTCCAAACACTTCTGCAAGGAAGGGGGTGTAGAGTATGAGGCAATGGAGTCCTAATGACATTGACATGGCTACCAAAAGCCAAGGGTTCCTCCAAGGTGGTAGTTTCCTCAAGCTATTATCTTCTGAGAGGGCATTCAAAGAGTTAAACATCTCAATTGCCACCAAGACTGAGAGAGAGAGAGTCATGGCCTTTACTTTGCCAACTGAGAAATAGTCACAAGGATTTGAAAAGGTGACCAAGCGACCCCCTCCAACATCAAATGGAGCAACAGTGAAATTAGACCATGATGGACACTCCCCCCAGTTGCAAAGCTGGGAGAATTCTATAATTGTGTGACCATCACTCACAAGATTGATGCCAAGAAAAGATGCTTGAGTGTACCACAAGACAAAAATGCCAACTGTTGCCAGTCCCACATAGGAACCAATTACCTGCAATGAGCATTAGTTTGGTTACCGTGTGATAAAATCCAAAGCTTATATTAGATTAGTAAAATTTATGAATGGACAAAACTTATATTTAGTCCTTCAGATGATTTTGGTATATTTTACTTTGACTAAAAAATTTAACTCAACAATCTGTATACGAAAGGTTTGTATTAAAGTTTACAAACTCAAATTCTGATTTGAAAATAATACAAAAAACACTTAAGGAGTTATATGTAAGTTTTGTACTGAATGAGAATAGACTTGAGCATGGGCATGCAAAGTTAAGCATTGAATTGAAGAAACTTGGGTTAAACTTACCAGATAACGGAAAAGAACCCAAGGGCTTATTAATGCATCATCACTTCTGCGAGGTGGCTTCTGCATGATATCAACATCAGCAGGGTTAAAACCAAGAGCTGTTGCAGGTGGACCATCAGTAACCAAATTCACCCACAGAAGTTGCACTGGTATCATGCATTCTGGGATCCCCAAAGCAGCTGTCAAGAATATGGATATTACTTCCCCGACATTGGAGGATATCATGTACCTGAAGAAGATTTAGCAAATGTGAAGCACAAGTGTAGATAAATGAAATTCAAAATGAAATGCCAAGAGAGATAACATACCTTATAAATGACTTCATGTTATTATAAATAGAGCGACCCTCAGCAACAGCTGAAACTATGGTACTAAAATTGTCATCTGCAAGCACCATATCTGATGCTTCTTTTGCAACCTGTAGTGTTTAGTTGACAAAGTAATCAGAATGCTAAAATGTCAAAGACGACACATCTCAAGTCTCAGCTTATTTATAGTAAATGTACCTACAGAACTGTATCTAAGTTTTATCCATGTAAATATACATTTCAACTTATTATGACAATACTAACATAAATACAAGCCAGAAGAAAGAAGAGAGAAAAGGAGGGTTATCATATGACATTGACATAAAACAAAGTTGCACTCCAGTAAAGCAAAAGTTATGTTACCTCTGTCCCAGTTATGCCCATAGCAATCCCTATGTCGGCTAGCTTAAGTGCAGGAGCATCATTCACACCATCTCCAGTCATTGCAACAATCTCCCCCATCTCCTTCAGCAGTCTAACGATTTCTTGCTTATGTCTAGGTTCAGCTCGAGAGAAAACCTTGCCTCCTGGTTTCAACAATATTTCAACTTGTTCTGAATGAGCAAGTGTGATGAATTCCTTGCCGGTCAAACTTTGCCCTGTGAGATCCTCATCTTTAGAGAACAAATTGATTTCCCTACAAATAGCCTCTGCTGTGGACTTATTGTCTCCAGTTATTACCATAACTCTAATGCCAGCTTCCTTACAATCCTCAATTGCTTTGTGAACTTCCTCACGAGGAGGATCCTGAATGATCAAGAAAATTATTGTGAACTAAATGAATGTCCTCAAAAAGTTGCATGACAAAAGAGTGATCATCGATTCAATGATTGATCCATAGGTCTAGATCGGTGCATGACACAGACTTACTCTTAAGCCAACAATGCCAACAAAAACTAGATCACTTTCAATGGATGAATAGTATGCTGGATCAAGCAACTTCTTGTGAGCAGGATGAGTGTCAGCATAATAGTCTGAAAATTCTCCTAATTCATCTTTATATGAGAAACCCAAGCAACGCAATCCCTTTGAACTCATCTCCTGGAGTCTTTGACGAAGTAGTTCCCTACATTGGTTATCTATTGGAACCAAGGATCCATCAGCAAGTTGCACGTGTGAACTACGCTTAAGTAAACTCTCAACAGCACCCTGTGATTCAGAACTTTAGAACTCAAAAAGCAGCACTATATGAAACCAGACATGAAAAGAGGTCACAGTTTGTGAATAGAGAATAGCATAACAACTAACTGTTTACTCAATGAGACATTTTACCACAACGCAGATAAAGATAATATTTCTACTACCTATTGAAAAATACCCCACAAGTTAAGAATTAGTGAGACACAAATCAAAAGCCATAATGTTAGTAAAAACTGAAAAATGAATCTTCAAGAATTGAAAATCTAAAAATGAAAAGATAACAACATCACCCAAAGAAAGTAGTAATTATTAAAAAATGTAGGACACAAGAGACAAGAAAGTCCTTGTCAAAATTTGAATCATAATAATTCAATAACCAGGCTCAGCATCACACACAAACCCCTTTTGGCCCCTTTCTGCCCAACTTGGAAATATAGTCAAATCAAGTTAACCTTGCCATTTCTACTTGTGTTAGTAGATTTCACTTGTCATTTATACTTATTTTAGTACATTTCCATGAATTCAAAGTAGAAAACATGCTAAAATCCTGAAAGGTACTATTTTAATATCATTTAGATATGCAGCATAATGTCATATTTTTTCTAATGATAAATGGTGTGTATAAGGTCCAGTTATAAATACGTATTTTATGTATGCAACTTTCTGTGCATAGTAATACGCTCAGTTCAAAAAACTGTTGATAATTTTTTCTGATAAAAGCCAAAATGGTGATAAGGCATCAGATCAAGTCACCTTGACAAGAAGCCGATTTTGACCATTTGGTTCACGAACAATAACGCTCATTGACTTCCGAATGCGATCAAACTCCAATGTAGCTACCCTTTTAGATCTTTTATTCCACCACTCACAACATCCTGTACAACAAAAATTAAGTAATACTTTGTCACACTCCTAGCACTATAGCACTTTGACAATTTGTTCACCTGCCATAAAGTTAAGTCCATTTGCTAACCTAAATTCACCACAGTGTTTCCATCCATCAAGTTGTTTGCAGCAAGTTGTGCATTATCACGAGTTTTGCTCCTTGACTTCACTTCTGGAACTCCCATCTTTTCAACCAACACTTTGAGAGCAGCTTCAGTAGGCAAACCTGTGGCTCTAAAAAGGCGACCATCAAAGTAAATCCCAGCATCATTACAAACAGCACATATTTCAGCCATGACTTGCAAATTAGCATCCATGTTATAGCATCCCCAGTCAACAATTCCCCCATCTTTGGGATCATAAGTTGTGCCTTCAACACTAATGAGTCTAGAAGCAGTGGTTTTCCCTCCCAAAGTAAAGAACTGTGTCACAGCCATCTGATTTGTCGTCAAAGTGCCAGTTTTGTCTGAACATATCACAGTAGTACATCCCAGAGTTTCCACACTAGGAAGCTTTCTCACAATTGCATTCTTTTGAGCCATTTTCCGTGTACCGAGTGCTAAACAAGTTGTGATAACAGCAGGAAGACCTTCAGGGATTGCAGCAACTGCAAGAGCAACAGCAATTTTGAAATAGTAGGTACACTTTTGGAATGAAAATTTTATGTTTGAGGGCCATCCATCGACAACATCCCAAGAAATGAAATTCTTGTAATTGATAACCCAAACAATGAGACAAACTAGACCAATTGCAGTGGTAAGCCTGTTACCGAACTCATCCAGCTTCTTCTTCAAAGGGGTGTCACTGTCCTCTTGAGAAGCCTCATGTATCTGCTTCTGTATCTTTCCAATTTCAGTTTCCATCCCTGTGGTGATAACAATACATACACAACTTCCATTGACAACAGTGGTGCCTGCAAATACCATGTTTTCTTTAGCCTGCAACTCACAGTCTTCCAAGAAAATAGGATTTGTTCCCTTGAGAACTGGCATTGCTTCACCAGTTAAAGAACTTTGCTCAACCCTCAATGTTGAGGTTTTCAAAGCTGCAACTCTCATATCAGCAGGGACCTTATCTCCAACCTGCAACTCCACAATATCACCAGGAACAAGCTCTCTAGCAGGCAAATCAGGCACAAAATAGCCATCCCTTAACACTTTCCCAGACTCACATTGCAATTCTTTGAGGGCTTCAAGTGCCTTCTCAGCGTTGTTCTCTTGCCAAACTCCAACAATGGCATTAAGGACCAAAATCAAAATTATTACAAGTGGCTCGACATACGCCTCAAATCCAGACTCCCCAGAGTCACTTCCGTGAAAGTAAGCCAAAAGAAATGATATGAAGGCTGCAGCCAAAAGTATCTTCACCAGCATGTCATCAAATTGTTCCAACACTAGTTGCCACAAGGGCTTCCCTTTCTCCTTTGCTAGCTCATTCCAGCCATACTTGTCGCGCCGCTTCTGAACATCATGAGTACTCAGCCCCTTGTCCAGTTTCACTCCATACTCTTTCAAACACTGTTCAACAGACCATGACCATGCAGGGAATGGTTTTTCCTCCATTGGAACCTTCAGCTGCTTGTCCAAATTCACCACTGAAAATTATACAATAAAAATGTAACAAAAAATTAACGTATCCCACATGCTTATAAAATTCAGATACAATAAATTACTCCCTAAATAGATCATGAACACTAGAAAATAATCTCATCCATGCCAACTTGGACGAAATCACATGAAGGAAAAAAAAAACATTTCCTGTTTTTCAGGAGGTAAACTGACAAAGTGATTGCAGAAGACATTATGAGGGCATTATGGTACATGAAAAACATTTTATGAGAACCTCAAAACAAGACAAATTGCATACCTTATCTCTCACTCACACACAGCATAAACTGCATGGTGAAGCAAGATATTGGTTAAGTAACATAGATGGAAAAAGCAAAATTTGTACCATTGGAAGAAGCAGACAACGTTGAATTGTGTTAGCTTGGAAACCAAGCAAAGCTAAGGCCTGGAATTTTCCGAAGATGCTGGTTCAATAAACAGAAGTTGTGAAGACTGAGGACTAGTCACTGGTCAAATATTCTTGTCTTTGAACACAACTTTATATAAATTGTCTTGTGTTGTGATGTTATGGGGTTAGGAAACTCCCATCTCTGAAAGAGAATTTTAGAATCTGATGCCTCAAAAATTCTTCTTCTTTCCAATATAATTTATAACCAGTGCTCAAGTCCAGTCAGTTACTTTAGAATTTTCTAAAGGGGTGTGAGTTGGAATGAACTGCATACCCCCACTTTTGACTTTGCTCAACAGTATTTATTAATTGTAAAAAAAAAAAAAAAAAAACAGTATTTATTAACTGCAACGTTCCACATTTTGAAATTTGTTTGTCTGTGTTTGATTTCATGCAATAAAACTCTGCTTTGAAATTTATCATACTTGGATGCATATTTCGTATAATACTGCTACTAGCAAACGGCTTTGTTGCTTACAGATTCGTCAAAGATATAAGAAAGGAGAATATTGATTGAAAATGAAGATAATATTAATAGTTAAAGATCAGTGAACAAAACTATCATTAAAAAATTGAAAAGAACAATAATGTCTAAGCCAAGAAAAGGTTGATGAACCGAACGCGGTGTCTGCTGGTAGTGGGAATCCCAACAAGTACACAACACCATTACCATTCTCAAGTGTATATGTTGTCTGTAGTCCTGTTTTATTTTGGAGATTGACTTTTAAATTTTATAATATTATCTGGTTCCAATTTTGTACATGAAAAAATATAATTAAGAGGAAAAATTATAAGAGCAATTTTTTTTTTTAACAGAAATCAAATTCAGTTCGTGACAACCTTAATACCAATTTTTACAGAACAAATAGGTTAAACTAATACCAAAGGTTACAACCTTAATCTCTAAATATTAACATAAAAATATATTATGTAATATAGGAGCATTCTCACACTAAAAAAACGAGGTTTAGATTTATTAGATTATCCAAATGATTAAGTATGTGACAACCCTATTATAAAACTCATTTAATCATATAACAAAATCACATGAAAATTAAACTAAAACTAATGACAAATTCATGATCCTGGAACATAGCTTGAAACATGAAAAAAATCAAAAGCTCTTTTACATATGTAAATATGATTATTTGATATACTTCAAAGACACGAGTGCTAGACTGTTAGGTTAAGTGTGAATGTCATAATTATGACAACTTGTGGAACTGCACTGTAATTATATTCAGCAACAGCTTTATACCAACCAAGTTTGATGGAAAAACATGTCTCTTAATCCTTCTAGTAATGTATAACACCAAGAACTTTTCATTTGCCATGTTATTGACACCCTCTTCTTTTTCTTTACTTTCTCTTCTTTTTAACTATCTCTTTTTTTCTTGTTTTATTTTGTTTTATTTTTCATCAAGTGTGATTTGGTCAGAAACCTAGATAGTGAGATATATTAGTTATTTGTCACCTATAAACTTTCTCACCATGGAAGCTTCCATGCAATTTCCTCTTTCCTTTTCTATCCATGATGTCTTTATCGTGCTTCGAGATTTGCATTTTACAAAGATTACCAACTACACTTGGCTCTACCAACTAGTATTCTAAATGTTTGACTACGTTTTATTTGACTTTTATCACGACAAGAAAAATGCATGCCGTCTTCCAAAAGATCTAAAGGAAGTGATTATGATAAAGTTGTTTTGTTGGGGAAAAGAGATTAAACAGTGTTGGTTTTGGCTAAATATAATAATGAATTGGATAGGTGTTATTTACATAAAAATTGGGCAATTTTAATTTTTATGGTATTTGTGAATATGATAGGTGAAATATGGAAAAAGAAAAATACTAATAAGGTATATTTTTTTATTTGGTTTAATAGAAAAATATGAAACAGGTTAAAAAAATAAAAGTTTATTTCTAAAAAAGTTACATTTTTATTACTTTTTTTTATTCTACTTTTTCTTTTCTTTAATCTAGATTCTAGATGTCAATATCCTAATTCATATAACTAAACCTTTTTGCAATTGTGTAATGGTTTTATTGAAAAAAAAAATGAAAGAAAATTTACTATGAAAGAAAAATTTATCTTTAATGGTTTATTTGAATTTAGGGATAAAAAGATAAATAGAGACAGAAAAATGAGAAAATCGATGTAAGAAAAAGTAAATAATTTTATCTTTTATTCTTCCTTGCATATGTGTAAAGAAGGGAGAAAAAAAAGGTGATTAGATCTTAATTTTTTTATAAAATATTATCTTTTATGTTTTAATTATTATAATAATAAATAATTAAATAAAATTTATTAAAATAATATATTTTTATTTTATTTTATTTTATTTTTTCACTTTATCTTCATCTAAACAATCTTATTTTTTATTTTTTATTTATTCTTCAATCAAAATATAATATAACACTACCTTCTTCTATATGAAAATATAAAATAAAAAATAACTAGTAATCATATAAAAAAATTTACAAGATAGGTAAAATAAAAATAAAAAATTTAGAAAATAATAAATATTTGTTATCGACCTGGTTCTATGTAAGAATAAACATAAAATTTATAAAAAAAATTATTCAGAAAAAATTTATGTTAATAACAAATATTTTGATAAATACATTTAAAAAAATCAAAAGACAACATAAAAATAAAAGAATTATAATTTACCTGCTATAAAAAAACATTTTATCCGCTCAACCCAAGATATAAATGGAAAAATATTTAAAGTCTTCTGTCATTATTAATATTAAGGTTTAATTATTTATTCATTATATTTATTTAACTTTTTTGTTTTAGTTATACTTATAAAAACTATGATTTAGCTCTTAATACAAACAATTGTTTTATCATTTAGTTCTTAGGATAACTTATGTTAGGAAGAATTAATGTTTAAACCAGTGCATATTTTTTTTATTCTTTTACTAATCAAATACTTAGCATGTTTTTGTCCAAATTGTGATAGGCTTGGTTAAGACAGAATATAAGTAAACCTTAAATCCTAAATCCTAATTTATTGTAGTTTGATTTTCCTTATTCATGTTCAGTACCAGAAATAGATTTTCTCAAACTTCCAATCTTTCTGACACTGTGACCCCAAGACCCTTATCTTCATCTACTGCAGTTACACCTTTCTTTCTCATAAGCCTCTCGTTCCTTCTAGCAGCATACTCGTAGTAGAATCTTCTCCTTTCGAATATAACACTTGAATTGGTGATTGATGTTTATTTCATCTTACACTTAAACAATATTTTCATGCATTATCATTATCGTTGTATTTAACATGTTTTGTAGTTTTTTTATTTTATTGAGAAACAAATGCATTTAGAACAAAATTTGTGGGATTTGTCGTTCATAAGCTCGCAGTGGAATTTCTTTATTATTAGGTTGGGCTGAAAATGAAAAAGAAGGGAGTAACTAGAAAAAAAAAAAAGGAAAAGGGTTATTCTAGAAAGGAGGAGGAAGTTAAAAACGGAGAGAATTACGTTGTAGAAGAGGGAGGTAAGAAGGACAACAGAGATTTTGGGAAAACAGTTTTTAGGGTTTAATTTCTGTATGGAAGACTAAATTTTTTTTTGTTAGATGATTGATATAGTATTTTGTAAGACAGATTCTAAACGTATTTAATTTGATGCCGTGTAATTTTATTTACTCTAGTATTTTATCTATGGTTTTTTATGTTCAATTTAAGCAATTATATTTGAAAAAATTGACACTGTCAATGTTGTTAGATGAGATAAGTTGAGTTTTTGTTTAATTGAAAAATTACACAAACTTAACTAGTTATTATGGAGGAAATTATTAATTATTCAAGTTTCAGTGAATTTTTCTTATTCCAAGAAATTGAAAAATTAAAAGTTCAGTAAATAATTTTGCTCAACTTAGGAAGTAAATAGTACTTTTAACTCCAAAGGATAAACTTAATTCTTGTATCAATTAAATATGTTAGGAATTTGTAAGAAGGAATATGAAATTAATCCTCTAGTATATATATTTTACTATAATGAAAAATAATTTTTCTGTTGTCATTTTTTTACTTAAGTAAAATTAATAATTTATTATTTAGCAAATATTCAATCCCTAAGGATAGTAACATGGTTACTTTTATAACAATTGATTTGTTTACCAAAATATACATCAATTGGAATCACAAGTAATCTAAAATATAATTCTTTACATAGACATTCTTTTTGTTTCAGTAATTTATTATTATTAATTAATAAATTACTAATTTTCAATTAAGATGTTACAATATATAAAATTAGCCAAGTTATTTGATAACTGACAACAAATACTGATACATGACAAACAAATTGTTTGTAGGACTATAACATAAAATTTTCAAGTGTCGGAACTAAAACACTACAAATATAAAGACCAATACATTAAAAATTTGCCATTAAAATATAGAATTATTTTGTATAGGGTTGGATTATTTCTTTCATGGTAGTTAGGAAGCAAAAGTCTCATTTAGACAGCCCATAAATTTAAACCTAGCGTCAACTTTTGAAATACAAAAAAAGATTAATTAAAAAAAATTCACTTATGAGGAAAGAATAATGATAAAATTTTGTCAATTTATTTCGGCTATCATATGGAATTGTTGGACCTAACATCTCACAGCACCTGCATCATGCTAATAACACATGTTCCTATGATGCTTAATGTATTAATTTTGAATCTTAACTGATCTAGTATTTCAAAAGATCTTTCTTGACCTACTACGATTTATCTATCTTCAACACATGACTTGTGTATGTTACACACTTTTTCACTTGAGATACATTGACAATTCTATGCAGGTTATAAACTAGGACAAATTCCCTTCTTAACTTCATATTGAGATAGTAAAATAATCAGGACCAATTCCCCTCTTAACTTTAATACTTTGATCAAATTATAATTATAATAATGTTAAAACTATTGTATTATTATTTACTATTATGAATAACTTCATGCCATATTGTTATTAAATTACTCTTGGTAAAAATTTATGATTCCACATATCTTAGATCTTAGATGTGTTAAAATTTTATATTTATTCAATATTTTATTAAAAACAATGATGACAACAATGAGAAAATTAATTTGATAAAGATTATCCAAATTTAATAATCTATTTTAACTTTTAATATATATATATATATATATATATATATATATATATTAATAACATCAAAATGAGACAACAATGACTTGAAAGGTAACCTAAACATCAAATTTAGAAAAGGAAATTATGGTAATTTTTTAGTGTAACTCTTATTTTCTTAAAAACATTTTATCAAACAAATAATTTATTTTAATACTAGGAGAGAGGACTTGTTATCTGAATTAAAACTAATTACCAACTTAAAAAATATAAACTAAAATATATATTTATTTTTTAATACAAAATAATATATATATATAACATATTTATATCAGATAAAAATATGCAAATATATAGTACACATCTTAACCAAATATTATATAATCTATATAATAATATTTTTATAATAAATAATAATAATAATTACCAATCATATCTATTTATTAAAAATGCTAATGTTAGGATAGGTAAATTGATTTTGAAATAATTGGGGTCGAGATAAATATCTTGATGTTGGTTGATTTGTGTTTACTAAATAATTTAATTAAATTCTTAACTTATAAATATGTACATATTTGCACTCTCCTATTTTTTTAAAAATACTATAAACTGTGAAAATCCTTAATTATATCATAAATCTAAATTTTCATCTTCTTAGGTAGAAGTCACAAATATGTTTTTACTTAAACATTTTATGGAAATATTTTTGAGATTTATTTTTAATAGAAAAACACGTTTAAAAGTTATTCTTCCCATGAAGTTATACACTATTTTATCCTAAAAATTTAATTCAACTTTAAATTTTTATTTTCTTTTAAGTATATTACTTAATTTTAATCTGATTTAATAATTTCCTTTTCACCGTATCAAATAAGTTTTTTTTTCGTATATCGTTTTATTTTAAAAGCTCTTATCTCTTTTATTTTATTTTTATATTAAATTTTAGATATATTTAAATTATTCAATAAAGATTTTTTTATCATTAAAATAAAATATAATTTATAAACGAAAATTCTAACTATGATTAATTATATATTTAAAAAACATTTCTTTATAAATTCATGACTGCCAGATGAATAGTGATATAAAATCTGACATGAAAGTCACATACAGTTTTTTATATATTTTTTACAAAAAATCGTTTTAGCCCTTTTACTATATTGTTATTCAATGTAACTTTTAATGACAGGAATTAAAATATAAGTTAAAAGATTGGAAAACTAAAAAATAATTTTCATTAAAAGTTGAAGTAGTAAAATTATATTTTACATAATAATAATGAACATCTTACAAAAAAAGAAGAAGTGAAATTAGGGTTTTCGTTTTGGGCTCCTTTGAATTGGATTAAACCCACGTCAGCCCGTTACCCTGTATTTAAAGTTATCATTCTCTAATTATGCTGAACACCCAACAAAATCCGAAAGCCTCTTTTATTTTTCAGGTACGCCTCTCACTTTCTCTCTTCCTTCACTTTAGGGTTCCTGGGCAAAGAAGATTTATTGATTCCCCTTGTCGAATATTTGAAACAACCAGTGGGGTTAGTGATATAGAGGTTTTAGGTTTTAGGGCATTGTGGGGTTTACACCCTTTTCGTTTCTTGTTTGTTTGGTTAGTTTATTGACTTGATTTTAATTCTGAAAGCGATTTGAAAGAAGAAGATGAGGCCGATATTTGCTGGGAACTTGGAGTATGATACTCGTCAATCAGAGCTTGAACGATTGTTCTCAAAGTATGGAAGGATTGACCGTGTCGACATGAAATCTGGTAAAAGTCCTGTGGTTGTGTTTTGACAAATGCAATCAAAATATTTTTAATTGGAATTTGTTTGTTTTATTTATTTCTTTTCATCAGTTTCCTTTGCTTGGTGAATGATGATGATAAAGTGCTTTTGATTGAATTTATTATTTTGTTAACAAATCATACTTTGTGGTTCCTTATTGAATCTTAGTTCTTGTTTTTAATTGACATGTTGAATAATTAATTGTCCAACCGTTTTCGTGTTGCCCATTTGCTGTTATGTCATTTAGTGTAAACGGTGACAGTCTTTTAAGACAACTAGTTGTCATTGATTTTGTGAAGTTAGTGTATAAGTATAATGCACTGAGCTTGTGGGATAACACATTGTTTTGATTTCCCATATAACACTTTCTTGGAGAGGGGTGAGGAGCTTTAAGGGTGACTAAGTCCCAGGCCGAGCTCATAGCTGGTCCAAAGACTCTAACTTGTGGGGATACCTTGGGCTTCCATTGGGGAGCCAAAGGACATAATTTCGGTGGTTAAATAAAATTAATATAATAAGACATTCATCTAAAAGCTAGTGATACTGAGGCGCCGTGTTTTGGAATTTGGATGCGGGCATATGGCTGCTTTTGTGGCTTGAATGTGTAGTTCCTATGTCCTGGTAGGAAATAAATGGAAGCCACAATTGCAATGCCTTTGGAAAGAAAATCCTCTGGTTTTTAAGTGTTTCTTTTGGCGCAGGAACTTCTACTAAGGGAAAATATGCCGAGCTTCTGTCTTGGCATGCCACCTCTCTGCAAATTTTTTTTGGAAGAAAACCTTCTTGCTTGCCTGCTCTCCTTCTACCCACTGATCTGCATTTTCTCATCTGATCATTCGTCACTCACCTCATCATCTCCCAACATTGACATTTCCACCAGAATGTTCTTAGTGGGATCATCAATCAATTTATTAAGCCATGCCTAGCTTATCTGAAAATAGGGGATCAATGAAATTCTATCAAGTCATGCCATTCTATTTCTGAAATCACTTGTGCTGTCTGAATGGAGAAGCATGCTTAGCAGTCTCAGATCTGAATTTTGGATTTAACCTTTATTTGCAATCATGATTTTGTTCCTCATTCAACGCCTCTACAGCTTCATGTGCATCAGCCCTCACTTATATTCAGGTGTTGTATTCCTTTGTTCCTGACAGGGAAAATGATTTCCTGGTTTGGCTGATGTACTTCTGGTGAGGGATAACATGCTTATGTGTTTCTTAATCATTTATGCCTCTAATACTAGTCATGTTGCAGGTTTTGCTTTTGTCTATTATGAGGATGAGCGAGATGCAGAAGAAGCAATTCGTGCACTTGACAATGTTCCATTTGGTCATGAAAAACGAAGGCTATCTGTGGAGTGGGCTAGGGTATGATACTGTTTTCATGGTTATATTTTTGTTCTATTTACTTATTGATGAGGGCATGAAAGTTAACTTTCCTCCTTGATTTTAATAGGAACCTTTTTATTTATTTATTTGGTAGGGTGAACGGGGACGTCATCGGGACGGATCAAAGGCAAACCAGAGGCCAACGAAAACTCTGTTTGTGATTAACTTTGATCCAATTCGAACTAGAGTTCGTGATATAGAAAAACACTTTGAACCTTATGGAAATGTTCTTCATGTTCGAATTCGGCGGAACTTTGCATTTGTGCAGTTTGAGACACAAGAAGATGCTACTAAAGCTTTGGAGTGTACAAATATGAGGTAAGTGATGAAATTATATTGTCTTATAGTAAAATTCTTTGTTTCTTTCGAATATTTATTTTTTTGTTTCACTACACTTGCAGTAAGATCCTGGACAGGGTGGTGTCTGTAGAATATGCTTTGAGGGATGATGGTGAGAGGGGTGACAATTATGACAGTCCTAGACGAGGAGGTTATGATAGATCACCCAGTCCAGTTTATCACAGGCGACCAAGTCCTGACTATGGTCGTCCACGCAGTCCTGTCTATGATAGGTATAATGGTGGTGGACCTGACAGGCGGAGGAGTCCTGATTATGGCAGGCACCGAAGTCCTGATTATGGCAGGCGCAGGAGTCCTGATTATGGCAGGCGCAGGAGTCCTGATTATGTGAAGCCGAGGAGCCCTGATTATGTGAAGCCGAGGAGCCCTGATTATGTAAAGCCGAGGAGCCCTGATTATGTGAAGCCGAAGAGTCCTGATTATGGGAAGCCGAGGAGTCCTGAATTTGGTAGATATCGCAGGTATTATATTCATAGTTAATTTAATCCTCTCATGCAACTGTTTTTTCCCTCTCCTCTCAGAGCTTACTTGTTCTGTTATTTATCTGCAGCCGTTCACCTGTGCGAAGGTCTAGAACATAAATTATGTCCGGTTTTAGGGTAAGAAGAAAGGCTCCAATGACAGTTATTTTCTAGTTGTTAGAATAGCCAGTGGTACATTATGTAGTAAAGGGTACTTCTCAGTTTAATGTGCTTTGCGGTATTGTTTAGCAATCAGTGCCAATGGTTCCATAGGACCTAAATATGAGACTCTGTTCAGTGTTTGGATTATTGATGCATATTTTTGCAATGACATCGTGCGGTGCTACAGCTGAATTCTATTTTTGTAGCGTTGTACTGAGACTATTATGAATGATTGCACTCTTACCAGTTAATATGTAATCAACTATGCTCTAAAGAAATGTTATTTGCTGACTGCTTGTGCATTGAATCTGCGGTGATACGCATCATCATAAATACCCTAATTTTCCCAAAGAAACCACAAGTTTGTTTTATCTTTACTCCAACCTAAGAACTCTCTGCATCAACAATGTAGAAAAATTAAATACTTGCATAGACTAGGGGTATAAATTTACACTTACACACTTAACGTAGGGGTATAAATTTGTTCGTGTGGTAGTTTGGTGATTTATATGAAAGTTTAGGTAAGGATGAAAAAAATGTTAGGTAAAAAGGCTAAATATTTAAAGTTTGGGCAACCACCTATTTCTCTATCATTTTTTTTTCCTTTCGATTTTTTTTATTTTCAATTTGACCTTTGTTTATTAGCTCCTTGTATGAATTCATAGATAAGATTTTAACGGTGGGACGATGGTCTGCCTTCGTATGCATGTGCAATTCCCAAGGCAAAGTCTATCCAGAAAAAGTTTATATGATTTGATAATTTTTCTCTTTTTATGTTTTACTTTAACTAAAAACTTCAAATGCTGTTGGACCTTTATTTTGTTTTTATATGTTTTTGATAGAAATTATCAAAATATTTGAAAGTTAAGATAATAATTTTTGTTAGTGAAAACAAAATGAGTTTTTTTATATAGCAGGCTGGTTTGAAGTTTTTTATTGATGTACCTATATTATTAGTCGGCGGCATGTATTAAAATATGAGCAAATATTACATAAATTTTTTGCACAAAGGTTTCGAATATTGAGGTTTACACTTGAAAAAGTCATACTAACATTTTATTGTCTAGTATTTTATTATGATACTAACATCTTATTACCTATTTGGTATTCTATAGTTACATCGTGACTTAGTTTTAAGAAAATATTTTGATAGATTTCAAAAATATATTAATAAATCACTTTTGATAATAATATTATATTAAATCTTGTTCTATACTTAATAATGTTTTAAAGAATTTAAAGTTATTGTTAGGTAAATAAAATTTATAAAACTTGTTTATAATTTTAAAATTATATAATTCACTATTTTAATATAAAATATATTGAATAATTTTTTTATTGTAGCTTATTAAGACTAGTTAATAATGAAAATTTTTAGTAATGCATATGTAGCAAGGATCTTGGATTCAAATTTCATGATGTACAAGTAAAGGTTGGTTTCTAATATTTGGTATCCAAAATTATAACAATATATTATTTAAAAGTTATATGTTAAATTTATGTGGTATAAAACGTAATTAATCAGTGAATTTTACTTATATAAAGTGAGGAAAACAAATGTTTTTTTTTAAATACATTTATAATCATTGATTGAAAATTCAATTCATTTCAAATATCAATGTATTTGATTTTTGTTGTAACTTCAATTATTAATTTTAAATATTTTTCTAATAATAATAATAATAATAATAACCAGATCATTGTCTTGGGTGTTGATAACGAAAATCAACTAGCCAACGGTCTTTGAAAGAAAATAAGAAAAATCATCCACCATTCTTTTGACTTACATCCTTTCATACATAACCACTAAATCATGAATCTGAATTGGCCTTTGCTCATCTCAATTACTTCATTTGTGGCTTCAACTTAACGTCACTACCTCCTTTAACTCTAATATATGCATCTTCTACATCAATTTATCAAACAAATCATTCATTTTTCCTAAGAGAAACACTCACTCAATCATTTCACTGATAACTGTTCATTGGCTATGTCTGACTAAGATCAATCCATCAAATAAACTAAATTTGCTATTAGGGAAAAGTGCAACAAAAATACCTATGTTTGTGTATGTTGAGATAATTTTATCTATAAACAACTTAATTTGTAAAAACACGTTTTCATGTTAGATTATCTATTTTTGATTATCATATGATCATCATATTGATTGGAGAAATTCATATCATTAACAATGAACAACCCTTTAGGACAAAGATTTATCAATTGTAGCAGCATAAAACTGGTGAGATTTTGATACATATAACTTACAATCGATCACAGAAGGAGCAATAGCAATATGTCTAAGTTGAAGACTTGCTAAGCTCTTCATCAATTGCCTTTTCCAGCCATGCCTCAGCATCTTCCATCATTCCAGGGCTAAGCCTCACCATGAGGATGCAAAATTCAGTTTCATTAAGCTTTCCATCCCCATCAAGATCACCTTGTCTAACCATAGCCTCTGCATCCTCCATGCTCATGCCTTCCATCCCAAGAAGAGCTGAGTTTGTCCTCAGACTCTCACTTGTTATCAAACCTGTTTCTGGGTCTGATAGAAGGTTGAAACCCCCACACAGTTCTGACACAAAGGACTCCACATCAAGCTTCTCTGCCATCACTGGAAGAAAGTCCTCAAACTCTGTCTCCATGGTGCTTTGCTTCATGCTGTGGTTGCTTTCCATATTAATACCAACCTTCCCTTTTCTTCTGCTTGTGAAGAAAGGTGGAAGGAGAAGGCCACTATGGAAGACTTTATATTATATAAGAATGAAGACTGAGGTGAGAATTCGCTAGGACAAATAGCCCTTTATACAGATGTAAAAGTTCTTCCTTTTGGACCCACAAAAAAAAAAAAAATTGTAAGCTTGGAGTTAAGGTTCATTGAAACTCCAAAGCCACCATAGTTTCAATTAATCTTTACCTGATATACATGAGCATACGAGTTTTCAATTTATAAGTAGTAGTTAATAAAACTCTTATTTATTATAGATATTTACCACTTCATAAAACACATGATACTATCACAAAATTTGACCCATCATTTTTGACAGTCTTCTTTTTCAATCATATTTATTTTCATCTACAAGATTAAACTTAAGAGGACCGATTCCAGTATACTCAAATTATCGATTTATTAATGATTTATTAGTAGTTTGATAATATACGATTAGTTTCTACTAATTTTGTACATCATGGTGTCAAATTGGCCTACTTGTACTTGTTATCTTATATTTGGAAGTTGGATTCTTTATTGGCTTTGGTTGTTCTTACTACATGTGACTAACTATTCATTTGGGAGCCATTGACTAAGAGTCTTCTTAACAATTGTTTTCTCCAACCCTGATGCATACTTTTGCTGTTAAGTAGGTTGAAGAGGTGGGAATTGTAGTAAGTCAAGAAGTTGAGGAATATGACTTCAGAAGTAGATGTATCCATTCATGTGCATGCCATTGATTATTATTTGAATTTTGATTTTGATGGTGAGTTTAATAATATATCCATCTATTTAGGAAGGTTTCTAGGAAGGTTCCTTTGGTGGGAACAGAAGGATATTCTTGTTGAGACGTAATCTTGAGTTGCAGGAACTGTTCCATAGTTTGGCTTCCATGAAGCTTCCTCTTCCGTTTCTAATTTTCTTCTATCCATCAAATTTTGCTATTCTGTCGTCTTCTCGATCAATCATATATATGACAAGTGCCATAATTATTTATTTGTTCTTAAACCACAACCTTTCCACATGGGGCATATCATTCTCAATCACAACATTTTTTTTTCCCATCTTTTTATTTCTTTTCTCTAACACCAAATCATATCACAACATCTAGTTTTACCAGGTTCCTTTCAATTTTATATTTTTCTCCTTTGCTTTTTAATTTGACATAGTTGAACCAATGTCCTCTTCACGTGTTTCACAACTCTACCAACTAAGCTTCATCATTTCACTAAAAAAAATTGTATTCACAAAAATCGATTTTAGAGATGTAGAAACAGACAATAAGAAACTAACAAGTTTCATGAAATGGTGTTGTGATTGATGAGTGGGATAGTATTCTATTTCCACGTAAGAAAACAAGAATGATTGATGAAGACGCAAGTATCAAATACGATCATGCAACTGAACCACTTCAACTCCTGAATTTAGGCATCAGAATAATGCTTCTCATTTTTATCCTTTTTGTTTTACCTTTTTTATCTTTACCATAATCATTATTAAAGATAGAAAACTTTCATAATCATATTTTCTTAGCATATCTTATTATTCAGCCTCATTCTGATGAAATTAGACTCACTTGAATTTTATTTTAGAAATAATGCCTAGTTTGTTTTGAAATTTATTTAAACATGCATTTATGAAAAAAAAAATGATTTTTTTGATAATATTCTTCTCAGTATAGCATCATTGTAAAAACAAAACAAAACAAAAGGATAAGAAATGGACGGCTAGAATTTCATTGATGTTAGCACCACAATATTTTCACAATTCTAAACCCTACTTAAATGAAAAACATAAGAAAGTTCCAAACGAATCAAAACACTGATTACTAATTAAAAATTTGCTACAGATACTTAGCATGACAGCAGAGAGAGAAGAAAATTTGTTTTCTCAAAACCAGACAGATATGAGCTTTCTTGACTCAATTCAGAAGAACTTAGTCAGTTAAATATATTAAATTAATCCACTCTTGTGCAAAAACAATACATAAATGTTGCAATTCTAGCAAATGTTAAGCTCTATTAGCTGAACTTAGTTCTTGTTTGTTGGATCCACTTTAGACTATTCATTATTATTATACAACTTCAGGAACATGTTCATGTATGTTGGCATAATTAAAGTATTTTCAAACATCAAGGTGTTTTCTGTATTGTTAAAAACTTCAACAGATAGAGTTGGCTCTCTGGTTTTGGTTTAATATTAATATATTGTCTACTCTTGTGAACAAAACATGATATTATTCATACTGTTAGAACGTGCCGAACAGAATCAAAACACTGATTATTGATTAAAAATTTACAACAGATACTTAAAACATATACAACATAAACTAAATATATATGGTAGACAATATATAGCATTAACAGCAGAGAGGAAGGGAAATGTTTCTGAGCTCTATTAACGAAGTTTTTGTCTGTTAGATCAAATTTAGAATATTCACTATTTTTATACAACTTTGGAAAACTTTTAGGAATGCATTCATGTATGTTGGCATCATTAATATTATTTTCAAAGATAAAAGTTCAACAGATTAATTGGCTCTATGGTTTAGGTTCATACTATAATGTGTTTTACGATGAACTGATGAATGAGCCAATGGTCAATGTCTAAGATGGAGTTTCTAAAGAACCCCTCAGACTTTGGACTTTTCATCAGCATATAGGTGGCAGAAGGTATAAATAAATAAATAAATTATATGGTAGAGGATAGGAGAATGTTAAGAAGAATCTGGATCAGTGAGAAAGTGAATCAATGGAAAGATAGTTAGTGTAAAAAAGGTGGAGGAAGAGCTGAAGCTTAAATAAAAAAATCTTTACAGTTACATATATTTTTAGTTTCTCTAATTTTAATTCTGATTTTATACTTTAAACTTTTCATTTTAAATCTTTATTATGTCAAATTAAAATATAGGCCTAACTGTGTGACATGCCCTATAATCTCATCAAATTAATGTTTGAAATTATAGTTCAGCATTGATTACAGCTTTAAAATATTGGAAATTTGCTGTGTGGCATGCCCTATATTATAGTTCAACATTAATTTGATCAGGATCGGAAAATTTAATACTCGAAGTGTGTTTTTAATTGTGTATGCCATTGAATTGGATTACCATTTTATTGAAAATGGAGATGATGATAGAGGCATTAATCAACTTTCTTTTTTCCTCTATTTTATACTCTCATTTATTGACTAGGCAAAATGTGTTTTCTATGGTGTATGCTGCTAAGCTAATTATGTATGAATCATTGTTTAACCTTCAAAATTGTAGTGTGATGTCCAATTTGTTCAATAATATTTCATACAACTCTCTAAAATTCTTTCAGCAATTCCATATCACACATGCATATTTGGTTGTTAATTGATTTATCAATGGCATTCTCCAACTCAAAAGTTCAGTGAACATAAAACCAGAAGAATTTCTCAATTGCTGCATAAAACCAGAGGCACCTGCTGGGCAAAAAGCTACCACTCTTTTGTTAGGAAACTCTCCCACTAAAAAGTCACGTTGTCACACAATAACTAACAATAATTTAACATTTTAAGATATTGGATTTTCCATACAGTTTATTGTGATCTTAATTCTTAAAAGCTACTACTTTTTTAAACTCTGCAACACTGGCATGTAAAATCAGATTGGAATTACCTCACTTTCTGGCACTTCTAGAACAGTACAATTCGGATATATGTGGCCAAAAATTGGAATTACCAAATTTTGAGGCTTTGGCTAGGCAAAAGGAAAATAAGCACCTATTATTGTCTTTAATTCTCATTTGAAAAGTCCTTGTTAACTTACAGAGAAAAGAAGAAGGAAAGAGAGGGGGAACTGAAAGTTAATGGATGGAGAAAAGTGGATGAATCAATTGTATTTCTGCTCTTATTTAGATTATGTAAACATGAAACTCTCCAACACAAATAAGCCACTGTGACACTCATTTTTTTTGGTTTTGCATAATTTTTTACATTCTGAACTTGATTATTGAAAATTAATAGTTATAACTTTTTTGTGATTCTTCTATTTTCAATGTATTTCTAAACATATTATCAACCTGTCACCTCAACTCAATGTCTCTTAATTAACTGATAATACAAGGACTCTGATTGACACTTTACAATATTGGGAGCTATTTTAGTAAGTTTAGGTACTAAAATAACATTAGATTTCAATTGCCAAGATTAACATGGAGATTCCCTTGCTGGTGACTGAAGATGAATATGATTATAAAGATACAAATAAAATGGTTTTCTTTCCTTTAATTTTTGAAAAATGATACTTAGTTTTGTGTGTTTGTTCAGATAAAGAGATGTTGCAGGAGTTTAGGACACAGCATACCCCACAATTGGACACAGTCTGAAGTGAACTGTTGAAACTTGAAAGAACTGATTCTGACAACACTTCCGTCTTATTCAACTATTGACTTGTCATGCAAAAGCTTCAATGGACAGCAATTTGTCAGTGCAAATAAATACCATTTTTCTGTAAGCACCACGGGACCATCTTCGAGTTGTTTATAAAATTCTTAAACTTAAGATGTAGTTTTTATGTAGCATTTTGGCAATTTTTACATAGAAACAATTGCATGATCATTTGAAGTTATTGAGGATTATACCGTTGGAGAAAAAATTGCTAAAGTTCTTAAGGATTATACCATTGGAAACACTCCAACAGCTTAAATTTTGAATGAATAGAACCTGAAACAGCAAAAGGCGTGCCATGCACATACACTATACTTTACCCCTTGAAAGGATAAAAACTAAATCTACTTTATGACAGAACTGATAACAAATATCACATATTTCAGACAGTACATCCTGTTATCAATATGGGGGCACAACAATATCTATATGTGGGGCTCTATCTGCTTAATTGAGAGCTACAATGTCTTAAATTTTCTAACTGTTGAAATTATTGTGCTTTCAAAGAAAAAGTTTACTTCATGCAAAAATAGCGGCAGCCAAACGACATGATGATATTCAGCTAAACAGATTAATCAAGTATTTATTCAATATTATTTCAAGTAAAACCTTTTACTAAATAAGATTATAGTATTTATTTAGAACTTATTCATAAACTTAACTGTAAAATCATTTTGGCTGATGAAGTGCAAAAACAAGAGGCTTGTGCTAGTTGCCAAGCTTTATGTACCATGAGCAATCAGTGATCTTTGTTATTTTCTTGAAAAGAAACTTTTGTACATGAAAAAGGAACAATTAACTGTTCACCTTACGGGGGAAAGCATTTAACAACTTATTTCATTTAGAAAAATTAGACTGACTAAAATCATCTTTTGAAATTTGAACAAATTCAATTTCTTTCCCCCAGGTCTTTGCAAGAAATTCACAACCAACCTACGAATAATTGAGATCAGATGGCTTGGATCTAATACAGTAAAATCTGCTTACTATCCGTTTCCCTTGACTATCTTGAACTTCTCTAGCACGCATTTTCCTTCTTTGTACTTCTGTGTTTCCTCGTAAGCTTTAACATATTTCCAGCCAAGTTCCTCTCCACAATCGGAGCAATACACATCAGCCACTGTGTGGAGACCAGTGATAAGATGCCTATCCTCCTTAGGACCCAAAATAATGTTCATTGCATGAGAGAATAAAAAAGCTCTGCCATTGCTAGCCTGTTACACATAACTCTTGAAAATCCCAGGTTAAAAAGGAACTTCAAGCACCTTCATCATCTACCCTTTTAGCCAGTTTTTGCACCAAATTAACTCGTACGAAGGACATAAAAACAAAAACTCTGACAAGTTTGAAGGAGAATGAAAACAGTAAAATTTTTAAGTGAATCACTTCACTGTAGATCAGGTTATTATCAGGCCATGTTTGAAAGGTTTGTGATTGCTACGGGTATATGAATCCTAATCTTTATCTCAGCAAGTAGATAAAAGTTTTGCTTTTTGTTTATTTTATGATTCTTTTAACATCTCAGGGGAATCATCTCGTTAGTAATTAGTCATTTTAACGGGTGATTTGTTGAAATTTAGCACCAACAGATCTTCTGATAAGTTCAAATGGATTATCCATTTCAACCTAGAAATCTACCATAAAGATGGAGAAAATGCCAAAAATGCAAGAGAAAAGTTCACCTGAAAATCTTTGGAAACAATATCATCATGGAAAGCAACAAGGTTCTGGCACCTAAAGCAGCAGTATGCCCGTGATCCCATCAACTCCGCCATTGATGAATTTGCCTGGCACTGCCACCTTTGCTCCTACTCATAAACAAAAGTGTAAAGGAAAGGCTGGTCAAAGACTCAATTATAGAAAAGTGACCAAACAATAGAAGCCTCAAGCCTATCTTACCATGTCAGAATAAGTGATGGTAATGGCTATGATTTGTCAAATGGGTATCAAACAGTGTCTACAAGGCTGATTGAAGTGCAAGATACGTACCTAACCAAACAATGTGACGTCAATCACAATGAAATATTTTGAAGAAAAGAATATGTCTAAGAGGGTGATTGAGTAAAGCAGATTCTAAAGGAGTTTGATAATTAAGAGTTTTGTTTAAATAAAAGGTGTTGATTGTGACGGCATAGGAAAAGTACTAAAATAGTTTGGTAAGAAAGTGATGCAATTCTTTAACAAATATTTTGTGTTGCTTGAAAAGCTAGGTATTCCCTTTGGCCTAAGCACATGACAGAACAAATGCATGAATATACGCACATACAACAAAATGTAAATCTAGAATCAATGCAAACGAAGATTCCTTTGAAGATGTCACCAATTGATAATGAAGTTTTGCATTGTATTAACTTGTTTGCATTCACCATCTTCTAAGTTGAAGTAAAACTTACTTTTGGGGCTTTATGTTTTTTATTACTGTGTTCATCCATCTTCTAAGTTAGCTTTATGTTATTTTATAAATAATGACACATGCCTTTTTCTGATTATATTAGTTTTGGAGTTGTTGGTCATCTCACGGATATGTCCCTATCTCTTGGGGTTGTTAAGTGAAACACTCAGCATTAAATCCATCTTTATCAATGAAATTCACAGATTAAGAAATTTTGTTAAAAATTATATCAAAACGCATTAAGAAATCATAGAAGAGTATATTTTATATTGGTTTGTGATTATTTCGCGGAGGGAAGAAGTTTAATGATATGCAAGTATCGTGGTATGCAAGCTGCAATGGTGAAAAATATACTAATATGGCAAAGGATCTCCATCAGATTGTGTCTTCTAGAACTAAAAAAATTTCTTAAGACGCATCTCCTACATTATGCTAATGAAAGATTGAGAAATATCTCCATATCATGGAAAAAAATAGGTAGAGGGTAAGGACACTCACTAAAAAGAGCCACATCCAATATACAAAATACAGTTAAGATCACAAACTTTACAATGAAACAATGTCGACAAGGGTAAAAAGAGTCAATCAACAAGCTCAAAATCGCCAAATCGCCAAATAGCCAGTTTCTTCCTGGCCATCCATCTCTTTCTGGTGGATTCCAATGCGTCCAACTTCATCTTGTTTAGTTCATTAATCCAATGTTGATAGTGTGACTCAAGGACATCAAGTTCAAACTGTAGCTCAAGATCAATCTCCTCTTCTGTTGAAGACACATACGAACAGCTACTTCTTGTGCTTCCAGCATTTGTGGATGTTCCAAGAACTGATCCCGGGTTCTTTGGGTATTCATTTATAACAACTTCTTCCGCGGCACAATAATCTTGTGGTTGCAATTTACATTCCTCAAAATATGCATCCCCTAGCTCAAGTTCAGAGATGGACCTACTACTTGAGCATTTAGAACTTGCATCAACTTTGGAATCGTGACAATTGTCATCTTTCATAGAAGCATTTTCAACAACTACCTCAGAAGCTCCAGATTCTTGTGAATTAGCATCACCCTCAAAAGTAGCATTATCATCATTTTTGATAAAGCTGGTCTTCTCAGCTGCCACAAACTCTTCTTTGGAGCTTGTATCAAACCCAGAGAAGCCATCTTCTCCAATAACCATTTCAGAGGGAATACTTGCTAGGACAGAACCCCATGGCCATCCCATGAAGCTTTGGCCATCTATATTAGGATTTGTTTCTCCACACAAGCAACGGTCATGCGAGGGATTCCACCAAGGGAGAAGTTTCATTATCAAGTAATCAATAAGCTCCGCTATGAAGGGTACATCGTGATCTGCCAGCTCCAAATGCTCAACCATCTCTGTGGCCACAGAGACAGCGGTATCTGAATCGAGGTAAAAGAGAAAATGTATATTCCTTACTCGACCTGCTAGTAACACAATAAACACCGTTTAGTATCAACTTTCATGGCGCAGGAAAGCACGTCAATTATTAATTCAGATGTTCTCTCCACCCCCACCACTTCTTGAAACAAAAGTAGCAACAGGTGAAGGCGAAAGAAAGAGAAAATACTCACCACATGTATCAGCAATACGCAAGGTCAATGATACCGAGTTATCATCATTTTTAGTCCCTTTCAGCCTAAACTCATTGTTATTATTTGCCCTCTGCACTTCAAAAACAGGACAATATGGGATTTCCTGGTTGCTTTCAGAACATATACTCGTAGATAACTGTTTGCAGTCAGCATCCAAGTCCATAGATTGAGAACCAGACTTAAATGAATATGCTCTCAGTGTTCTTCTAGGTGGTTGTACAGGATAGAGGACGGGATCCTTTGGATTCTCAACTTGTAGAAATGGATCTTTAAGAAGCTCCTCTGCTGACAATCTCTCAGATGCTGGAACCAGACATTTCTCAATAAACTCCTTAATTTGAGGATCACTCACCTTTTTAAGGGAAGCAGGTTTGATGCCCTACAATGATATGCATCACAATACAGCATAGATATCAGTTAAATTGTTTGTATTGTACGTTAAACTGATAAGGATAGCCAATAATTGATTTACTCACTGAGGTAACTTTCTTAAAGATTTGAGCTGGATTTTTGCATTCGGCATAGGGATACTCAAAAGTGACCATCTCCAATATGCACATTCCGAAAGAATAGATGTCAACCAGTTCTGTGTACGACTCTTCATATAGTTCTGGAGCCATAAACTCAGGAGTTCCTTTTAAAATAGAGAAACAGCAAACCAAAGCATAATTCAGTGCCATATGGAACCAGTATGAAAAAACCATCAGATTTAAGGAAGTAATAGCTTACCAATAACACTTTGGGCGGTGGGTTGTTGCATGACAATTGCCAAACCAAGGTCCCCTATCTTAACTTCACCTTGGTTTCCATTCACAAAGATGTTGTCACATTTCAAGTCTCTATGAATAATTGGTGGCTTGTGACTGTGAAGATAGATTAAGCCATGAAGAATCTGCCTGGCCCAACCTTTTATAGCTTTCATTTCAACATATTTATGCTTCTTGCGATATCTGTCAGCCAAAGGTGCACAAAAGTTTCATATTTGCATGTTACAACCAAATAATATAAAGGAAGGGGGAAAAGGACCAGGAGAACCTACTGCCTTAAATTTCCTGATGTGAAGAGTTCAGTGATCATGTTAACAGTGTTCTGCTTATCATCAATCCAAGAATCATAGAACTTAATAATATTTTCATGTTTCAAAGGCTTCAATAGATTAACTTCAGAATACAACTTTGCAAGATCATCGACTGTATGCAAGAGGCCATCAATCTTCACTTGGTTCCAAGCAACTTCAATTCCGTTAACTTCATCAAAGCCCCTATAACTGCAAAAGAGAAAGAGATTAAATAGCACGCCTTAACAAGTAAAAACTGCCATAACGATCCAAAATGTTGTTGAATAATAAATTTCTTGAGAAAATAATTCATAGCAAGTAAAATTCTGAATCAACTAAACTAGAGCACAAGGAAGAAAACATAACAAATAGAGATAATGAAAAAAAAAGAATTATAAATAGAAAGAAAAATAGAAGAGACAAAGATTAGGCATTAAAATCTTACACAGTTTTGAAGGCACCCCTTCCCAAGACTTCAGTGTACTGAGACAAAGAGAGAAAGAGAGAGAGAGAAATCAAATGAAAAACAATACAAAAAACAAGTGAATCATAGAATCATCGAAAAGAAGTAAACATATCCCCTTGAACGAAGTGGGGATATTGTAAGCCCCTAGCTGTGCTTCACAGAAAGCAAATTTTTCATACAGAGGATTATCCGTAGTTTTGAATCTTAAGCATGAGATAGGTTTTACACTTCTACATTATAAAGTGGAACTTAGTTTTTGAATCTATCTTTCGCAGCTGATCAAGTAATTCATTACAGATACAGCATTAACAAATAAAATGTCATATACCAAACGCGCGATTTATAACTGTTTCTCTAATGATATCAACACTTTCAAGCCTGATAAAAGTGATCCTAATTCAGAAAGGAGGGACATGATGCATTTTGGCGCATAAGACACCGTCTCAAGCATATAGTCATTTCTTCAACTTATTTACCTTGCATTCCACGTTCATAATTCATGAGTCAAACGAGAAAAACACGGCTAATCAATACTATTGTTTGAAGCAAGCATGTGTGCTACCATGATAATCCTATGCAGAATTGATTCAAATGTGCCTACCCTTCTAGCTCAACTAGCACATTTTCACCACCAACATGAGTAAATTAACTCATCCCTCTCCCCCCCAAGCGTAGAAAACACACCACCACAGTTCACACGCATTGATTAAACTTTAGAAGAACCACTAAAGTTGGCTAAAAATGAATCCAAAAACATATAAATGAATAATGCGTGAAGGTAGTTATGTGACTCAAGTCATAATACCCTTATATACCGTCCGGTTGGATCTTTCTCCACAAACTCGTCCTCAATATCCTGAGGCTCCCTTGTCGTGAACACATTGCTCACAGGAGGCAGTGTCAAGACAGCACCAGAATTCATTCTGGTGGCTGAAACAAACAGAACCCAAACAAATTGTTTCTTTTTTCTAATTACTGGTATAAGTTTATTGGATGGGGCCTAGTTTGTGATTGGAATGGAGAAAGGTAGGGACTGAACAAAGGAGGAATGGGAATGCCGACCGCAGCTGGAATCGGCATTCGATGACAATGGTTGGAGGCAATGAACCTAAATCCAAAAACCCAACCTTCCATGTCATAGCAAAAATTCATTTTCAAATCAAACCCAACACCGCCACCTTCCTCTCAAAGTCCATTCTGTCCACCGACCCAGGTACCAAAACCTTCCAAAGGTTCAAAACTTACCAGCTGGGTCTCCCATTATCCAATGTTCTAAAGAAAATTATCAAAAGGTGGAATAAGGAAAGGTTGTAGATGAGGAAGAAAGAGAAAATGAGGAAACCGTTGAGGCGAAAAAGAAGGGGGGAACAGACAGGTGGTTGGTGAATCATAGTTCTAATTTTGTTAAGAAATTTGCGTTTGGGAAGGACAAAGATGAAGGACAACAAGAGGAGGTTTGACTTTTGAGGTCAAAGGGGGAATTCGGAACTAATTAATCGAAAGAATCAGTTCAACTCGCTCCGTGTAGATGAGAATCAGTTAACTTTTAACTTTCGGTTGATGGAAAGAGAAAAGATCATCGTGGATTCTTATGATCGTTATATTAAATTAGGATAAAAGGGCTAAAAAAAACATTTTTGCACACCTTCAACATATGCTTAGGATGTTGTTTTTACCTCTTACATGTAAGTTAAAAATAAAAATTAATTCTTTAAAATTACCTTTGATATCTTATAAATCCAAATATAGTTTTAAATTGCTTCATGTTCAATCAACACGTGTAGATTAGAAATTATGAGATACAACTCAATAAAGTGTATTTAAGAAAAATTAGAAAGATGTATAATATCTTTAACAATTATAACGAGGGAGTAAGTACATTTTTTATACATTTTTAACCTTAACTTTTATCAACTGATCACTATAGAATCAATTAGTCATTATGGTATCTTATTTAACATTATATTTAATAATTATATTAACTTGTGTAAATCTTATAACATTAGAATCTTGGAAATTTGTATTCACTCGCTCGTATAAAAAATAATAATGATAAGTTTGATTATATGAATTCAAGATCATGGTTTTCTTCATTGAACTAAGTGTTAACGCATTATATGATGCTGCACTAACTATATTTTTTTTGTTGGAAACTACTGCAAAGAAATAATGCGTTTAACTATTTTTAGTTTTAAAATTTTATTTTTATTGTATTTTAATATACTAAAGTGAAGCGTGACATTGAAAAGAAAAAGCCTAATAAATTAATAAACTGTTAACATTTAATAATAATGATTCAACTGGAAGCGGTTAGAAAAAACTACTTATGAAAAATAATAAATTTAAATATTAATTAAGATAGAATAAAAAGTAAGAGCCTATTTACGATAACAATAAAACTTAAGGACAATTATTATAAAAATTAAAGTTCAAAAATACGTATTTACAAAGGACAACAAAATGGAAGATGAAAATAAAATTTTAAAATTTACAATAACTAAATATTATTCTCTCTATATAAAGAGTTAATGTATGTGTTTTTCTTTCAACCATCTTTTCTAAGTCTAAAATAATTGATTATTTTCAATCAACTCTGGTGTCGTGGTGTAGTTGGTTATCACGTCAGTCTAACACACTGAAGGTCTCCGGTTCAAGTCCGGGCGACGCCAGTTATTTTATGAATTTTTTTCTCTTTTATTTCTAATGTATTGTGAATTTTTGTTTTGCTTTTTATCTTTTTAATTTTTCATTTGTAAAAGTTAAAAAAAGAGCAAAATGAATTTTTTAAAAATTAGAAGAACGATTTTCGTTCAATAAATTAATAATTTGTATATTATTCTCCCAGTATTTTCTATTACGAAATTGTTTATTGAAGTATTATAATAAAATATTTTTTACATCTCATTATTAAAGTCTCGATGACATCAGATAGAATTTAGTTTTAAGTTTGAAACTATTTTTCACAGGTAGCAACTATTAAGTGTAATTAAAAAAAAATTATATAATTTTAATAGGATTCATATATATATATATATATATATATATATATATATAATTTTAATAGGATTCATATAATTAAAAAAATTATATAATTTTAATAGGATTCATATATATATTCACTTCAAGATCGTATTTCTATTCATCGAACTACGTGTTAATGCATTCTATGACGCCCCGACAACTAAATAAATTTTGGAAAAATTGTGCAAAGAAATCACGTGTTTAATTAAATTTTAATTTTAATTTTTATATTTATTATAAAAAATAATATGTTTTCAACATTTAATATAATTTATTTAACTCGACCGTTAGAAAACAACTATGTACAAAAGTAATAAGCTTTAAATATTAATTAAAATTGTAAGTATCTATTTATAAAAACATTAAAATTTAAGGATAATTATTTTAAAAATAAATTTCAAAATACTTGAGCAGATAAAATTTGCTGATCAAAACAATTTTTAAATTCATAATATCCATTTATTAAATGTAAAGTTTTGGTAGTTATTGTGGTGTTTAATAACCAATAATGGTGTCGTGGTGTAGTTGGTTATCACGTCAGTCTAACACACTGAAGGTCTCCGGTTCGAGTCCGGGCGACGCCATTAGGATACATTTTTTCTTTAATATTTTTTGAAAATTTTCTTTTATTCTCTTTATAACATTTCAAATTTGTTGTAACACGATTCATGTTTTGCTTTTGTTTGTTTGGTAGATCAGTCCAATTTGTGGACCAGTTTTTTTCTTGACCTTTACATATATGCATATTAACTTACTTCTTTTTTCTTAATTTGTTATAATAATTCACACTATTTTTTTATTATGTATTATATTTTATATCAAGTGATAATGATTTAATAGTGGAGTATATTTTAGCAATAATTAACGAATACATTAATTTTAATATTAATATAATTTTATAATATGAATATAACTAAAATTGGTATTAAAATTGTAAAAGTGAATTTACACTCGTTTATCCATTTTAGGGTTGCATACTTGTATAGGAGATGAAGGTTGGTCGTACGACAATGATCACTCTTTTAGTACGAAAGATTTTTAGAGTGAGAATTTTTTTTATATGTGATTGTAATAATAATTATGATATTTTTTGGGAAAGATAATATCATTCAATTCTCATACTCTCCTTTCTTCTTAAATTTATGCAAATCAATAAATTCAATAACGAACATAAATATCATCGATTTCATTCCTTATTTCTCTCTGTAAAGTACATCCATAGAATGGATAGAATCACAGGTAGATGTTAAATATTAATATAGGTAGAAAGAAAAGCATAGGTACTGTTTTCACTAATTACGATATTTTATCAAGCACTGTGAGGACTTTGCCTTGTACAGTTACATAGTAAAAGTGGTCTTGCTATATAGGGGATGAGAAAGTGATAAAAGTTCTGAATATATATGCTTAGTATAGTGGGTATGGCTAACCAACCTTCATGTTAGAATTGGTACGAGGGAGGTTCAGAATTTGGCTCTTAACTTGGAAGCTACATGTTCTATTAATGAAGCGACATGGCTGAAAATGAACATCCAAGCAGATACATTACCCACTATTAGTTTTGATGTGCACACAAAACTGCTTCTATGTCTAATTAATGGTTTGTGTTTTAGTGCATGGTTCATGGTGGTGTCAAATTAAAGCTTTCTAGTACTTATTTTTGTTACTTTTATTTTACTATAATTGGTATTTAGTACTTCTCAATTTATACATGGATCAGTTCGTTAAATTTATAGCATTTATCTGGTAATTATTTGTATAGATTTTAAGAAAAATGAGCTACTAAATTTCATTTATCCATTATCATGAAAAGTAATTTAGAAACAATTAATTTTATGAAAAGTTATTTAAAATAATTTGTACTTTTAATCAAGTTAGTGTCTGTATACCCGACGATATAAATAGCATTTTGCTTGTAAGAATAAAAGTAATTAGAATATGTTTTTAAACTATACTTTATAAGTAATTACTAAATTTCACAAAGTGGTTTCAATAAATGATAATTATTTTGCACCTGAAAAAATTTCAAAGAAAATAATTATGTACCATTTAAATTAATCAAATTTAAATACATTATTATTTAAAAATGGAAAAAATACAAAACAATTAAATAATTAGTTATTAAAAAAAATATTCCCTTGGTCAAACAAAATTTCAGAATTCAACAGAAAATAATTTCAATTTAGGTTTCGCGTGTGTAATATCCTAAAAAGGTTAAAAAAATAACTACCTCCAGCTTTCTATAAAATCGACGAAACCCATACGACGTCGTTGCGCTTTTCTCAGAACACGTATAAAAGTTAGGTTTATTATTAACATTTTGTCTCCCACATTAATTACCTCTCCTATTATTTACCGAGTAAAATATCAATTTTAGCTTTCAATTCGAAGTTTCAATTCTCCACACACACGCCACCCACCATCTTTGATATTTTTATTTAATAATAGAGATAGAGAGAGGGGGAGAGAGAAGGAAAAAGAGAAAAAGAAAGAGAGAGAAAGAGAAGAGGGTGTGTTTCTGGGTTCTGGAATTTTGAGGCCCCAACAATCAAAGCCCCATCTTATCGTCGAAGCGTTTGAAAGGTGGAAACTTTTGCATCTGGGATCGCGTAATTGGGGTTTTGCGTCGAAAGGGTATCTATCAATCTATCTTCGGTTTGATGGCAAATCTGTACGTGAAGGCGGTGCCACCGGCGGATCTGAACAGGAACACGGAGTGGTTCACGTATCCTGGCGTCTGGACCACCTACATCCTCATTCTTTTCTTTTCTTGGATCCTCGTTCTCTCTGTCTTGGGTTGTTCCCCTGGCATCGCATGGACCATCGTTAATCTCGCCCATTTTGCTGTATCTTCCTCTTTCTACCTTTCTTAATTAATTGATTTAATTAATTTAATTTTTTCCTTTCGTTTAAAAGCAATTAAGTTCCGGGTCTTTGATTTGTTCCTTGATTATCCCTGGTTGTGATGACCTTGCTGTATAAGGCTCTTTAGGGTATATGCTTGTGTTGTTGTTTGCCTCCTATTGGGATATGTGAAACTGAATGCGAGCTTAGAAGGATTTTTATTGTGCTTGACCTGGAGAAATTTGGGATGTTAGTTTATTGTTTCATTCGTGGTAATTTAGTTGTTGATAATATTCCATTTGACATACATAGTAAGTGGTTTGAATATTCAGAAACATTGAACATGAGAGAGGTGTGGTTGGGAAAGGGAAATTTCATTATCATGCATATGCAAAACAGAGATATATCTGTCATTTTGCAAGATCACGGGCAATATGTGAGTTATCATGCATGTACCAGTTTACATAAGTTTTCTCTTGTTAAGGATGGGCCCTGATTCCTAGTTTATGTTAGCTATAGTTTGTTATGATCTTGTTCTTATCTCATGGCTTAGAAGTTAGTTACTATGCAATATTATTGTTCTTATTCTCCCTTAGCTAGGAAATTAGTTATTGGAAATGTGAGTGATACATTACTCAAAGAATGTTCCATAGATATTATATAAGTTTATTCAAATTCTGCGTGTTATCCAATATAAAATCTTGACAAGAAGTTAAGATTATCCCAATAATCTTTTGGCATTGATCATTGGTTTTGAGTTTTCCTTTATTACTTCATTTACTATACTACTTCATTCTTTTAAAAAGAGTTTTTCACTTTTCAATAGATATTGCTGTTTATAAAGTTTAAAGAAACGATTAGTTATTAGAATATTACACCATTGGCTTTTGATTCCCATCTCCATGGCCCCACCATGCTCTAAACATTAATAAATATATACTATATCGATGCATCCTCTCCACGTCTCCACCTCTTCCTAAATCATTATTTTCCTATCTTAGTTGAGAAAGATATTTATGCAGTTATATAATTTACTTGAACATGGATGAGGTCTTCTCTTAATCTATTTGTCCGTTAATGGTCTGGATCTGCTCTAAATTGCTGGCCATAGAACTTCATTTTGTTTCTTATTTGTGAACCATTGGCATTCTACATTCTGGATGATTCTTGGATACATTTTGATTTTTTTAGAAGGTTGAGTGCCAACTGTTCCTAAAATTGTTATAAGTAGTTGAATGGGGTTCTAGGGAGTTGTACATATCATTGCTTCCACTTGATTCAATCAGTTGTTGTGAATCTGTAACTGGATTTGCTTTTATTCTAGTGTACTTGCACAGTTTTTATCTTTCAGTATTCATTTTCCTGCTCCTGCTTTTCTTTGATTGCTTTTAGAAGTAAGCCATTTCAAGTATCACGGTGCCTTGTAAGGTGTCGCCATTATTATAAAGTGTAATATTATTAATTTGTTTAATAGTGCTTTCTAATAGAACCTAATATTTATCGTCATCAAATATTTTTTTAACAGAGGTTTGGAGTGAACAGTTTGTCACTTTTTTATATCCTTTTGTTTTTTAGAGTGGAGATTGTCTTCTAATCAAACACATTAAACATAATACTTGGAAAACCCAATTTTGATCATCGATTTCTTGAGGGCTTGAGCAGGACATTTTCTCTTTTCCTCTCTAATTTTCAATCAATATTGAATGATTGAATCAGTCTGTAAATTAATATTGTTTATATCAGGCTCTAAATTAATATTGCTTATAAATGATTGTTAATTAGTGTTGAAAATAATTTAATATCTCACAATGCTTAATTGATGATGATGTGCTTATCAGGTAACATATCACTTTTTTCACTGGAAGAAAGGAACTCCATTTGCAGAGGACCAGGGTATCTACAATAGATTGACATGGTGGGAGCAGGTAGACAATGGAAAGCAGCTTACTCGGAACAGGAAGTTTCTAACAGTTGTCCCTTTGGTGCTGTAAGTTTTCTGATATGCAAGCCATCATTTTTATACATCGGTATCTGCTTCTGGTGATGTGAGGGTCTATGAATGTGTTTGTGTATGTGCACTCTTGTTATTTAAATTTAAACAGCATTCATTAAAATATTGGGCAAATGTATGTGTCATTCTTTGTAGTGTTATTCATGCATCTACACTCTTTTTTTATTCGTAACTTCTTGTGGTGCTAGAACTTGAAAATAAGTTTTATGCTTATGCTGAAACCATGAATAAGAACTTATCAAATTCATAGTTGGTAATTGTGCAAAATGGTGTCACTATTACACATACTACAAAAAGTGAATAGCATCACAGTGTTCATCGCAGCTGTGGTAGTGGGCAAAATTACAGAAAATCAAGGCTGAAGTGAGTGATATTGGAGTGTGTAGCCAGGAAAACACCTATTTTGGAGACAGCATCGTTTAGGCTGTAGTAGATTCAATTATGGTTTTTTATCATATCTTCGAATCAGAACTGAAACACAACTTTCTCATTCACTTGCATGTTATGAACTAGAACCCACTGTTCTACTTTCCAACAAACTCTCACCAATGTCCAACAACATTTCTGGGATTTCCCAGCTTATCTGGTTAGCTGTGACAGTTTTGGGCCTTCCCTAATCTCTGCAGCCTCTGTTCCATAGTTTTCACTCATCCCAAATCCCTGCAGTCATTTTCCAGCAAAACCAGTCACTTACTATGGCAAACTATGACCTTCTCCCTTAGTTCAGTCTTGTCTGTGTTTTTTTTTTAATCTCTCTAAAACAAGTCTATCGTCCTGTCTTGTTATCTCTTTTGAGTCGTACACATAAATTTTGTTTTTATTTTAATTGGTTAGAATGATAGCCATCCCACTATCCTGTTATAGCATTTTCAGGGTCAACCACTCCACACTGATTTTTGGAATTGACAACTATGATCCAATATAATGGATTTTTTTTTTCCAAAACGTGTTTTCTTTGGTGGTATGCATAAACTGCAGATTAAATTAGATTCTCTCTTTTCACTAATTTTGTGTACTCATTCCCTTGTGTGTATGAGAAGAACATGTCACTAAGCTGTGATGTAGCTTAATAAATTGCACGCATCTGGAACTATGGTTGTTTGTTTAGAAGTTTATAATACTTGAAGGGTTATATCTGTGTACACTTTTTCAAAACAATTGTATTATTATAATTCCATAAGCAATTACGCAAAAACAATAATCTGTTTTGAGAAAAAAAAAAGAGAAAATAAGAAAAGAACAGGTAAAGTAATTGTTTTGGTAGAAGAAATATTGTTTGATTTAATTTTTTTTTACTCCACTCAAATGAAGGGTTCATTATTGACACTAAATCTATTGTAAAATAATTGAAATGAGTTTATACATGATTTATTGCATATGTGGATTTGTTTTAGGCTAATTAGCTTTTTTTTTTGTCTCAATTTTTTTTTTTTACTTTATTCAATATCATTCCACTATTATTTTTTGTGTTAATTTAGTCCCAGTATTTTTGAAAGGCAGTCAATATTGTTGCTTACCGTTAAGTCTTTTAATAAAAGAGTGCAACATGGCCTAGACACATCAATAATATGTTACATTGACATAGATGTGATACATGTTAGTGTCATGTCAATAGCATACTAGCGTCATGCTTGACATACCAATGTCATGTTGGCACTTTTTATTAGATAATATCACCAATGGAAAGGATAACATGGACTCATTTTCAACAAATGTGGGATCAAATTGACACATAAAAACAATTGTGGGATGAAATTGAAAACAAAATTTAAAAATCATATGTTGAAAAAATCCATTTAGCCTTTATTTCATCACAGTTTCCATCATTGATTTTCCAGTCAATGTTAAGACTGTACACTTTCCTCTCTAAAGAGCCCATTTACTCTAGAGCAACCGAATCTAAAATGAAAAAAAAAAAGTTCACTTGAACAAAGGGACAGAAAGGAAATAAAGAAAAGAAATCTGAACAAGTTAAAACAAAACCCTCGCCATGTACAATAGCAGATTATTTTTGCCCAAAGTTATTCTTGAAAACAAAAGCATTTTTGCATGCCTAATACTCCACTGAACAATGTATATAGAAACATTGCAGAGACTTGCTTCTTTGTGCCACCAAAATCCATGAAGTTGATCATAACTGAATACTGATTCAGAGAAAGTACACACATTTGGTTCAGTTTATTGAAGAAATCATTTGGCAGCATCTCGAGAGAGCATGGGAAATTTCCTAAAATTTTTCATTTCCAAACATGCAATAAAATGGTACATCAATCTTGTTTTTCAACAACTAAGCATTTCAATAGCTGGAGTTAATGTCTGTCGATATGATTTGGGCTTCAGCAAGAGGGTTGTATGTCTGTAGGTTTACTATGATTCAGATTCTTATGGAAACTGTCTTGAAGAGCTTTATGGAAAAACTTACTGCACAGGTTTAAAACTCGCAGTGTTGCGCTTTACTAAATGTTGGTTTTCAATAAGAACATAGGGGGGGCTTAGTATTGCAAAGGTGAGGCTGATATAGTGGATGAGCAGAAAATCATGAGAAGATGGAATCGTAAATGAAATGTGTTAGAAAGTCGGGTTTAACATATATTGAAGAAAATATGGTAGAATCTAACCTAAGGTGGTTTGACTATGAGAAAAAATAAATCGTGGGGATGTAGTGGATAATACGGTTGAATATCACCAAGGTAGATCTAAATGGACATGCTGAGGATTTAGTTTTAGACATAATGGTTTCGTTTAATCCATGGCTGACCCTACTTAGAGGAGAAGGCTTAGTGTATTTAGTAGTTGTAAGGTTGTCCTAATTTGAGATTAGGTAAAACTAACTCAAACTAGTTAAACATATAAATAAGAATAAAACCTGACATAATTATATAACATTCCCACAATACAAAATTTATGAATTTTAACAAAATGAAGCTTTATTACCTCAACCAGACAGCTAATCTTGTAGTTATATAATGAAGATGAAGCACCGAACACTTTGATATTATAAAGTAAATTTCTATATTTTGATGAGTAGAGAAGTGTCTCGTTCCTAGTTAGAATTTTAAAAGTCAATAGTTATTTACTGTTTTCTTTTTGTGTTGTTTGTCATTGTCAGGTACTTGATAGCCTCCCACACAACCGACTATCAGAATCCAATGCTCTTCTTCAACACTGTTGCGGTGATTGTCCTGGTTGTTGCAAAGTTCCCCCACATGCACAAGGTCAGGATATTTGGAATCAATGCTGATAAGTGAAGTGTTGCTGTGTCCTTGAAACCTGGTCACCTGCTCAAGAGCCTCTGGTCCTTTATTCTGGAAAAGGTCACTCCTTTGTATAGAAGGCAGAACTGGAAGGATAATCACGTAATGTTTTGTTGCCAACTGCCTTTTAAGCTACTTCTAAAGTATTATTAAACAAATAAATATGTTGAGTTAATTTCTGTACAGTAGAGAAGTATATGTATGGGATTATAACGGTGCTTCTAAAATGTACTTTCTTTTCTTGCCTTGTTCCCTTTTATTTCATGTCTCAGAACTGAGATATACAAAGATGATCTTTCCTTTAATATTCAAGCATATTGGTATAACCTCTCTTTTTTTTCTTTTTTTTTTTAAATAAAAGTCTTACTTTGTCATCATAACCATAAATTGAATACTTACCTTAGACGTCACCTGAATTTGACAAGGCAAATGGTGAATATAGGCCTGAAAAAGAAAGTAAGAGCTTGCGGTGTCAGACAAGTTGAATGGTGTTGTGAATAAGTTGAATGGTGTTGTGAAAACTTAAGACATGCATCTTCCTTTTTTACCCAAGTTGAATATTTTTATATGTTTTTGTGTTTACTTACTCTGTAGTTCTTTTATAATAGTCAGTAATTTTTTTATATAGCTTAACAAGTTAACTGGACTTCTGCCATGAAAAGTAATAGAGTAATAGAAATAATAGTCGATGTTTCAGATTTCTAAGTTGGAATTGGCTATGTATTTGAGGCTACCAGATGTCAGATTCTGCTTGAAAGTGCATGACTAATTTCGAGATTGTTATAAAAACAAAAAACAAGTTTTTTCTTAAATTAATTATTTAATAAAAAATTCTACATGTTATCGAAGAAATCCTGTAGCTGGTCTCACACAAGCCGCAAGACCATTGTATATTCCCTTTATCTTCCCTTCATTCAATTTTATCCTCTTATTTTTGTTTATATCTTCCCTTCGTTCAATTTTATCCTCTTATTTTTGTGGTAAACAAAAGTTTAGGATAAGATAGAATGAAGGAATAAACGACTTATTCGAAATTTCATGCAGTTGGTCTTCTCTAATGCAGTTAATGTCTTATGTAATGTCTCAACTCATGTTTTTGTTCATGTTTACTCACAGAAGTTAACGTAGGAACCATTTTATTTTTCAATTACCGTTTAAGGACGTTTTATGACAACTTATTAATTAATTTGATCAGAAACATTGTTTTTACGTAAGGTTTGTCGTTTAGAGTATGACTATTGTTACCAATTAATTTACCCATCCATCATACTACCTGAACAATGTTTATTTTGTATTATTATAGAACAACAAAAATTAAATTATTTCTCTCTTCAATACTTTAAATTTATATATTTTTATAAGTAATATTTATAGATTACTTGTACAAGGTAAGAACTACTGATTGATTTGGGTAAAATATTTGTTACAAAAAATATTTTTTTTTTATCAATTAGGTTTTTCGTAAATCGTAAGAGGGTCAATGAAGAAAGTCTCCATGTTATTCTCAATTAGAGAAAAAATTAGTTCATTATTTAAGTTAACAGTCAATCTTTTAATCACTCTTAAGTAGATATTTCAAAAAGTATTATCACTCGTTTTTAATATTTTGTAAACAGGAAGAATGTAATTTTTTATTTTTTATTTTATTTGTATTTATAAATTTATAAGGATGTAGAGAATATTTTCTGGTGTTGTACAGTATTCACTTTAAGCAAATATGTTTTTGCATGCTTCTTCTAGATTTGGCTACTTTACTTTATATTATCTTAACGATTGCTCTAATTAAATCAAAACAATATGGTGAAGAAACTAATAGATAATTTTTTTAAGTCAAAATCACAGTAGAAATAAATTAAGAATATTATCATACCGGTTTAATTTATCTATAATGTTGTGATAATGGAGAACTTAAATTGGAGAAAGTAGTTTTTAAGGGAGATTAAAATTCTTTAATTTACAATCCTATTATTGTATTATCAAGCACAAGTTAAATTTTTAGAATTTTAAACTAAATCATGGAATTTTTTATATTTCTTTTAAAATGTGTAAATTTAACATTTTTTTTATTACACAAGCACTCATTCTTCATATTTTTCTCTTGTATTTAAATTGTAACCTTGAGATCTCAAACTCTCTGATTCATGGCTCTCAGAACTCCAAGCTCTCACTAGTTTCTCTCTCTCTTGGGGTTTCTTCTTAAGACTTTATTTGAGTTGAGATTGGCGACTACATTACTTCTTGTGTTGTTTCTATCTAATAATTAAAGTCAAACTTCTTAAATCTATTTGGATAAAGTTATTTATAAGTATTTATAAAAAGATGAAAATAAATAAATAAATAAATTTTATTAGTTAAAACTAGTTTACTAATTAAAAAAATAATAATCTGATTTTGCAAAAACTATTTCTCCGCTCAGTTTATAAAATACTTTAAACAATAAAATTCATATAATTTTATTGTTTTTTATTATTTTATTCTTATTAATCATCATTAAATTAATTAATAACATAATATAGAAAATTAAAAAAATTAGGGTTTATTTTTAAATTGTAAAATATTTTATATATTAAATATTTTTGTAATTGTACCTTATAATAAATACCAGAAGAAATATAAATTGATTTAGCATATTGATAAACTTTTTTTGTGTGTGTGTGTGAAGAAGTTCATTCAAACAAACATTGAATCTACTTAAATTCCATTTTTTTAATTTGATTATTTTATCAAAATAAAAGTTTGAAAATGAAAGATTAATTGCTTTATCCACGCATAAAATTTTGAAAATATTTTTTTATCGACACAAGAAAATTTGAAAATGAAACAAATTTCAGTTGAGTGATTTCTCAGAAAGTTGAAATTTCAAACAGTTGGACATGGTTTTGTGCTGATGAAAATTTAGAAACTTAATTTATTAGGTTTCGAAGTGTCTATTTACAAAGTAATGATAAATTTGAAAGGATGAATTGAATGAAATTGAAATATATGGGGAATTTTACAAACAAGATAAGAATATTAAGGATTAATCAGGGTTTATTTGTGAGGATATTATTACTTAAGGAAAGAGAAGAAGAAATTTTGTATTGTAAATTATGTGTGAATGGTAATAACGAAGACTTTTGCTAGGTTTAGTTGTTTGTTTAATCCATGGGTTATGAACAGTGGAAGATGAATTTATGGCAGGAGAAGATTGAAAGGGAATAATTGAAGAGAATGGCGTGAGGAGGAGGCTAACACAGATATGAGTGAGAGAGAGAGAGAGAGAGAGGAAAGGTGTTTTGTCCCCCAATGGAGATCAGTGAAAGTGAAAAGCACAAAGAGAACAACATTAAATTAAGATTAGTTGTTAATGAATCGTCCACATGTGAAGCCAATCCATTGACCTAGCCAGTGGAAGAAACAGTTTCCACTTGCCCCAAGGGAATGTTTGAGGACCCCACCAAAATACCGAACCAAGTTCTGCTTTTCAAAAATTTCTCAGTCCCTGCAAATACTATAATTAACAGCAGGTGGATGGATGACATAGGGCACACTCATGGAGTTGATTAATTACTGCAAGTCTTCCAATTAAATTAAACTGCAAGTGGATGACAATTATAATGTTATTAGGTTAGTATATTTAGTTGGGGCAGGTAATCCAATTTTCAAGATTTGTCCAATAATATTATATGCTCTAAGTATAGAATTACATGTAATTGATTGACTCTTTTGTTTTATTAATCCTACCTTGCATTAAAAGTGGGGGTGACATTAATTCCTGAATCAGCTAAAACACTGAGATCATACAACACTCCCTTGTCCTTCCTTTTCAGATTTCTTTTACTATAATTCCTCCGAATAATTCCACCGAAGTGCTTTCATAGTTGGAAGAATCTCAGATGTGATAATGAAGACAACAAAGCTGACAACCCACTAATTTTTGCACAGACAGAGATAGAAAGAGTAGCTGGAAAGAGCACAAAGCAACTCAACCAAATTTATAATTATGGTGTTACACTTACAAACTTGGAACACCTAATTCTTTCTCTCTCTCTCTCTCTCTCTCTCTCTCTCTCTCTCTCCTTCTCTCTCTTTCCTTCATCACCCCAAAAGTGAACCAAACATTTGAAAATCCTTACGTACAGATGAAGAAGATCTGCTTCATTCTCATAGAAGAATTCAATGAATACAGGAATTGAATGTGCCATGGAGAAAAACAGGCCCAATATTCACCGCTTCTTCTTCTATGTCTATATATATATATATAAAAATTAAAAACAACCGAGATGAGAAGTAAAACCCTCACGTAGTTCTCTCAAATAAACAAAGGCGGTGTGAAACAAAGTAATAATTAACCTTGTGTGTCCTATTGTTAGTTCTGAACAACTTCAGGCCAATGATATCCATATTGTGGAAAGAGAAAAATAGGGAAGATCAAAATATATATATAATGGTATTAATGCATGTTCTCTGAATTTTTTCTTTGACCTTCCATTTTTCTTTCTTACCATGTCCCTTCACCAATCATCCCAGTCCAATATCCAGTTGAGTTCCCTTGTTGTTGTTGTTGTTGTTCTTTATTGTGTTCCACTTCAGCAGATCCTGCAGCAGAAAGCTGTTTATTGACATCTCCAAAAGGGAACAAAACTCTGCCACCCCTCTCTTGGACCTGGTGATCATATGATCTATTTCCCATCCCATCAACTGAGGAAAAACTAAGGCTTGGTTTAACTTCTTGCATGGGAAATCCTGATGGGTAAAGGGCATTGTTATTTGCTGAGTTTGGCATCAATGAAGAAGGAGCATAAGGGTTCAAACCCCTGGATGCCATGCTGGACCTTAGCAGCTCAAGAGCTGACAGAGAAGTTGGAGGAGCAGAACAAGAAGGAGAGTTTTGGTGATGAGGGGTGGTGTCACTGTTTTGCATCTCAACATAAGGGGACATGCCATGATGATACTTGTCCATAGCTGGGAAGGCCAGGTTCAGATCTTGGCCACCATGCATTATTTTAGGGTTTTGGGAAGATAGAGCTGAGACCGAGACCGAGAGGTTTGGGGGGTTTAGGTCTGGAACCTTTGATGATGATGATGATGATGATGATGAAGCTGTGGCTCCTGCTGCTGAAGACACCTTCTTGTTCTTTCTTGAACCACCTCCAACTGGAACGTTTCTCAGAGACCCTCCTTCTGTCCAATACCTTCTACATGTCTTGCAGAAGTATCTGGGTTGTGTGAGGCTGTAGTTGTTGTAATAACAGAACTTTGTGTTCGTTGAATTGCACCTTGGACAATTCAGTTGCTCTTGTGGCCTTGCTTTCTTCTCTAAAACAGGCCTTCCACATGAATTGGGAGCCATCCCCTCCATGACTCTCACAAGTCCAATGTCCTGAGAAACCCCAAAAGAGAGAGAATGGACACCTATAGTTACAAGTGTTCATATGTGACAAGAATCTATGCTCGACAACCACAAAAACAAACCTTTATCCCTCTAAATAAAACTACATGTTTTACATGCGCCCGTGGACAGTGAGACAAGAATCGATACCATCAAAAAATTTCAAGAGGTATACCTGGTGGTGGTAATTTGAAGTTTACACAAAAGATTTTTGACGATAGATAACCACAAAATCAAAGTAAAGGTAGGAAGGCTCCTACTAAGACAAATATAAAGTTAAAAATATGTAAAGGAATCAATAATCAATACTAATAACAAATAGTATCTTTTTATTTTTGTTTGCTTTAACAAATGATCACACACGAGCAAAAAGGAAAAGAGAAGGAAAAGTAAAAGCAGTGCTTTTGTATATAGGATTTGATCAAAAACTTGCTTTGGTAGAAAAAGAGAGAAGATGGAATGTCTATATGTGGACCTTGCAGTTACCAAGTAGATCGTCTTCTAGATATATGTATATATTGTTAAACTATCCTGCTAGAAAATGAATTAAATCAAAGATACAAACAACTCTCAAATCTAGTGGAAGTTGATATTTTGTGTCAGCTTTTGAACAACCCCAAAACCCAGAATAAATAACTCAGTATTTTGGTTAAAAGAAAAGACATGAGAAAAATCCACACCACCTTTGGCCAGTGAGTAGCTACAGCCATGAAATTCAAAGAAAAGAAAGAGAAAAGCAAAGGGTGATTTGAGAGAGAGAGAGAGAGAGAGTTCACCTTGTTTGTCTGCAACTGCTCCTTAGTGCAAGAAAGAATGTTTTGGTTCGTTTGTGGGGTGGCTTTATGCGTAGGCTTACTTTATGAATGCTACAAAGGAAAAGGAGAAAGCGAGAAGAGAGAAGAGAAGTGTCTGGTTTGACTACACTATCAATATCTCTTCACTTATCATCCATGTTTTAGCCTTTAAGACTCACTTTTTTTTAATCACCATAATGAGACCTATTTTTTTAGGATACTTATGAACATATACTTTATCATCATCTTATACTTCACTTTCATTTCCACTTTTTTTTTTTAATTCCCTTTTACAATTTTCTATTACATCATATATAGTATATCATATTTATTATTTTTTATCTTCTCTTTCATTTATCCCTTCACCAAAAAATAGGATTGGTGTTAAAACTTAAAATTTCACTCTGTCGATGAATTTAAACTAGCATATTTTCTCGAAACAATTATTGTATAAATCTAAAATGGTCTTTCTTCTATACTGTTTTTATTTATTTTTCTTTTTTCTGTTTTTTTTTTTGGAATAATGAGAATGTACTGTGGTGGGTTTCAACTTTTTGAAAAAATATAGACTCTTATTGGCGGTTCAAATAGTCAAACTTTCTTTTTCTCTAATCAAGTACTTTTCATTATTTTGGGCCAGAATCAAGGACTATATTCTTAATCTTATGTTTTCTTTTTTATTATTATTATCAGAAATCTAGGTTCAATTTCATTTCTTTTCTGCATAAATAAAGGTTTCAGTTTGCTTGAATTCATCATGCTTTCCTTAAATTAATTGTCTGAAATGTTCTTCATAAACTCCCCTACATGCATGTGTTTGGGCAGTTTCACCGTATTGCTTTGAAAGTAATAAGAAACCTAATTCAAGTCTTCAATTCAATGGTGGTTTCAAAGGAAAAACTGATCTGTGTGCTGATGCTATGCATTAATTGTAAACAAAGATATCACCAATAGATGACATGCCAAACCTGGCTAAGCAGCTAATTGAAATGTGCTAAACCCTGATTTGCATGCTTCATATAGGTAAATATTTTTCTTTATTAATTATTGACCTACCTTTATTTTTTATATAAATTTAATTCTCAATATTTATTTTTTTAGAAAAAAATACATTTTAGTATTATATATAGTTTAGTATGTTGGTAGTAGACATAAATCAAAGATAAATATTTTTTTTGTCCAATTTATTATAATTTAAAATAAAATTAATTATTCAATCTTCGATTTTCGCACCCTATTTTAGTGAATATAATAGGTATGTATTAACACAATAGTTTCTTTCCAATAATATAGATTATTCTAATTAAAGTTGGGGTCCCCTTGGACCATTGGTCTGTGCTAAACATGATGGTTGTTTTCAACTTTTAATGAGTCATCCAGGTTTCAGTCTGCAATAAGAACGTATTTTTATTTATTTTTTAATTCCTTCGGCTACACCAAACTTGGTCACTGCTTGTTGGAACATATACTGAATATATGGATAATATATTTTTAGTTGTTATGTGTTTTAATGTTTATATTTTAATAGATCAATTCTGATTTTTATGATTTGACATTAATATATAAAAATTAATTCGTGCTGTACATTTATTTGATCTTTATTTATAGTAAAAGTCAATTTTTAATTTTTTAAGTCATAGCAACTCAAAACATTTTAAATATAAAACTTAAAATTAACGTATCTAATCACATATTAATAATTTTGAAAGAAATATTTGGTTGTATTTCTTTTAGGTTAAATGTTTTCAGTATTATATTATCATTATTAAATTAGAGTCTTAAATATATAAATTTTCTTAATTTATTGATTATAACTTTTTTCCTATATTTTAAATATAGAATTAATTATAATTAATTAATAGAAATTACAATTTGTGGATCACAATTTGAATTTGGCATATAATATCGGCAATATTTTCACTCAAGTTAGTGTATGAAAATTCTGAATATCCATTTATTAAGTAAAAAATAAAAGTGTACACGTTTTAAAGCTTTGGTAAATATGTCTAAAAATTGTGTACGAGTAAGACATATAATGATTGTAAGTATATATAAAATATCTCGTTACGAACAATATGATAGTTTACTTCAATATATGTGATGTATTCATGAAAATACAAGATTCTTAGCTATGTATCAAACATATTGACTATTATAATAGAGGTGCATGGATGTCGAATGAGAAATATTAAACTTATAGAAAATTTTTTTTACCCACTTTAATGCACATGTGATAGTAGTACAGTATTATGCTTTAGTTGAGGAACAAGATAGCATGCATATATTGTTTCTTTATCTTTCAAGGGGAATTCCTCAATTAAATAACCCAAACTATAAGAGACCTCCAAATAAGAGGGCATATTGTTCAATCTGCATCACTTCATCCATAAAGTTTCATATTGCTATAATTATTTAAGATAGTCCCTTGTCTAGAATTTTCTTTCAGATATTGAATAAAAGCTTCCTAATATTCCATGTTTAGCTATTGCATAAATTGTGAAAGAACATGTACAAAATATATCAATTCAGGTCGAGTAAAACACAAATAAATCAACCAACCAACCAAACGTCTATATTGATCGGGATTACAAAAAAAAATTACCTTTAGCAAGACCAAGATGATTTTGTTCTATTGGTTTAGACATAGACTTTACTTCAAGTAGTCCAGTTTTACTAATTATGTCTAAAACATATTTTCTTTAACATAACAAAATGTTTGTAGCTTTTCTAATCACTTCTACTCCTAAGAAATGTTTTAATTTTTCCAAATATTTTGTTTGAAAACATTTGCTCAAGTAAGTTTGAACCATTGGATAGCTTTGAACCATTGGATAGCTTTGAACCATTGGATAGTTGTTGAATTATTGGCAAGCGTACCAAAATTATTAATCGCAGTATAGTATTTCGATTAAATAAAAGTCGATCCCACGATGAACAGTTTCAATGGAAATTCCCAATTATGCTTACTAAGTAGATTAAACAGATTGGGTTTTGCAAATAAGAGTTGAATTGAAATTAAATGACAAAGAACTGTAAATTATTGAGAAAATATCAATTAAAGGTACTTAGGATTGGATTTCTTCCTTATCTCTCTTTTGTAATGGTTAAATCAATTAAGAACGTCAATTAACCTAACAATGTTGATGTCACCTACTCAAATCATCCATGTTGATTCCTCACACATGAAATTCATAAGAAAACTTAATAAATGTTGATTCCTCACACAACTAAGAGATTTTCCAGCATTAGGATTAGGGTGTTAAGCAATCGATACATTCATTCCATTCTTGGCAATTAACGTAACAAATATTCTTACCGTGATCTAGGGTTCAAGATATATTTTCCAATCATACCCCAAACATCAAGAATAAACCATTCCAAAGCATAAAGGATAAGAATAACAACATCAAAGCATAGATTAATATCTCAAAATATCACCATGATACAAAAGAGTTCAAAGGAAGTGCACCGAATCCTAAGAGAATGAAGTTAGTCACTCATGTTGGCAATTACAATGCTCTAATTGATGAATAAGTGAATAATTGATGAAGATTAGACGAAATCCTAACAGTAGTCGTGTCTCCTCTTCTCCAAGACTGCTTACTTTCTCAAAACGCATCTTATCTTTTATAAGAAAATTTGAGTCGGGTCTCGCATCATTCATTCGCTTAAGCATTCTTCTTTCTTTCAATTTTTCTCTAATTATGCTGACAATTATGCTCTTTACTCTTATATCAAGGTATTCTCGAATTCATCCTATATTGGGAGAAAAATATATTAGAATTAACATAAGTTAAATGGTTTCATAACAATTTAAGGCATAATTATATCAACTTTTTACCACTTAACAACTCCCTCCAACCTAGAATCTTGCTTGTCCCAAGCAAAGTAATTTTTACAAAACAAAACCATCGCCTATTATCATTTTCTCTTCCAAAACCACAACATAAAAATTTTCAAAGGTGATGCTCACAATTCCAAATGAAAATAGAACATATAAGCATTCAAGTTATAGAAACCAACAAAGAATAATTAATCATCAACTATCCTCAGAGAAGCATGATCTCTCAAAAAGAGTTACATATACTCATATCTAATTCTCACAGGTAAGTGTTTATCTCATTCAATCACTTCATTTAGACAATCCAATATTGATAATCATCTTCAAGCAATCAA